CCCCCCGGGGTGTTTTGCTTCCTTTTTAAATATCTCAAAAAGCTATGTAAACCGCTATAACAGCAAGAAGATCATCACTTGAACAGATTGTTGTTAAATATATCTGACCACATGTCCGACTCACTAACGACAGATTCCAATCCCGGAAATATAGATATCTCAGGGCCCAGTCCAGCAAATTCAGCAAACGTGGGCATCTGACTGAAGAGCCCCGGAAATGCATCATTAGCATCCACAGCCATGGAGCGTCGGTCATACCCAAGATCAGATTGCCCATGTAATTGAAGTTGTTGACTTTGTGCTTGCAAGGGGAAGTTTGGTGTTCCGCCCGACATAGACGTGAGGATTGCGCCAGCCATATGAACTGGCGACACTTCCGAGGAGCCTGGTTCCATTCCAATAAATTCTTGGTCCTGCCCTTGATGGAAAGCGAGGGCCGGTATCACCTGAGTCATGGTGCTCCTCGCTTGTAGCGGTGGCTCGATACATACAGCTGAGTTGCGAGGACTTTCGTCGAGGTTCTGCTCCTCATCTGTGTCGATATCTCCTAACAGATGGCCTGCATATGCTTGGAGCCATTCCGGTGCTCCGTCTGCAGAGTCTTGTTGTTCTTGACTTTCAGGGGGGGTTTCATGCGGCAATTCTAGAACCGGGTCAGGGTTTTCATCCCCCTCAGCGTCTCTGGATGTATTTTCGCTATGCTTCGGATCTAGCGGCATAAATGTCGGCTCCTCAATATCGAGAAACCGACTGAAGTAGCTGTTGAATGACGCATCAATTGTCTCGGATGCATGTCTAAGTCGGGTATTTGTGTCGTGGGCACGAAAGAGCACATCCATCTGTAGTCACGTTAAAAGCGAGTTCGATATTGTCAGCAAGGTGTGCATAGTAGAGGCCGGTCTATTCTATATGGAATAAAACATACCCACTCTTTCGCCGGGGCATAGAATGTTTTGAGGGCCCCCAGCACAATGAAAGCAAGTTTCAGGTTCTCCAGAATCCGAGTATCATACGGCCTCGGTGACCGGTGGAGCCGGTTGATAGATACCAGTGCACTCTGTGTACAGGCAAATCCGACGAATAGCGCATGCTAATCGTAACAAATTTCGGTGTCCGTCAGCAGGTAATCCAGCAATTGAGAAACGGATAAATAAAACTAACAGAATAGAATCCTCCATTTCTAATAACGTTCTGCGAAATGTCGCATATCGCATCTGCGCTAGACTCGCATCTGTATATTCTCTCTTTCAAAAATAGGGGCGGTGCATTGGGGAACTCAATACAGCGAATCGGCGGCTCTTGTCCGCCATCTTCTGTTGTCTGGGGTCGTCGTTCCGGTATTGGAAGGAAGGTACGATTAAGGATGATAACACAGCAATGCCAGATCATGGACGAAATAGACGCATCCAGATCCTCTTGCTTCGAAGGGCGACTCGAAGGAGAATTGGAGCCGAAGCGGAATGTGCTAGGGTGGCGGAGGAGGTATTCTTCCAGGTCATCCTGTAGCGCTCGGAATTCCGAATTCAAAGTCCAGGGTGGTGGATTTTGTTCCTTAAATGGGGTGAGACATAGTTGATGGATACAAGCAAGAAGTTCAAGTAACTCTACTAGATGTGGACAATCTTCGGGGCATGGTGCACATTCCAACCTCGGTCTGTTAGCTGGTCGGCTGCTTAAGGGTTGAAGATGGCGATGACCCAAGCAATGAGATGCTTGTGCGATGGCAAGGTACCGCTCTGCAACGGTCAATACTTGAGTCTGTTCCGCGTCGAGTTCGTTATGTGATCTGGCTAACTGCACTAGGCTGCGACCCATTGCTGCGGATGGTCAGCATTCTAGCCTACATGACCAGGTACAATATGGAACACATGGAAACTGTCTGTCTCGGCTTACCAATATCTATCCACGCTTGCCGTCCGTGAGCCCTACTGGCTTCATAGTCGATTAGAACACACATAGTCTTGACATTGTTTACTTGTTGCCAGGTAACACTGGAGGCTTGAATGCACTTTCGTGCCTCTCGTTCCATTGACTCGGCAAGCCCCTGGGCATGTGGTCCACGTGCGGCCTTGTGCACTGTGAAGCGAATGCTGGAAGCGCATACTGCCAGCACTAAGGCCCGAGACATAGTACCCTGAGATAGGTGATGTTGTATTTGGGCTGGTGATAACAAAGATCTCAGCTGCGCACTTGCCCGAGTGCAGAAAATATGCATGAGATGGCACATAAGATCTATATCCAGCGTTGGTAGGCTGTGGGGATTTCGTATCAGCATCAGTTCAACATGAATAAAGGAAGCCACAATGGCCCATGTCTGCTCGCATACATCTTGGAAATGGTGTCATTGCTGTAGATTAAGTCCTCCAAGCCAGGTTTCCATAAAGACGGATCTGGTGCAAAGTCATCGTTATCTTCATCGTCATCATCATCTTCGTCATCACCGTCGTCTTCCGTGACACATCTCTCAATCTCTTCCGCATCCTGCTTCTCTTGTTGTGCATGCCATACGAGATCGGCTGAAATCTGAGGCTGTGGAGACAGAGTCACTTGCTCAGTAGATGGGATTCGAGCAGCCAATTGATGAATAATTCTTTGAGGCGGCGCATTTCGTCGAGGTCTGGGGCCACGTCGCGCTCTGTTCTTGCTATCAAATTCGCATTGCCGCCCGCTTTCAGAGCACAGCGTGCATGGTTGGCTACCGCTACATTTGACCTTGAGGTTTTAGCTACGTTAGCATCAGATGCCAGTATATGTGAGAAAGGTCCCTGAAACTAGCCACTCACCCTTCGCTTGCGGCAAGAACCACAAGCTAGAGTCACCTTCCTTCTGTATGGTCCATGAATAGCCGAATTGGCTTGAGACATTGAGTGCAGGACAAGCCAACATTCCTTTTGAAATTCAACGCTTGGTCATTTCCGCCAAATCGATTTAGAATTGAGCTTGTCACGCTAGAGTACTTCAGTACCCCTCACGGCCCCTCACGAGAGCTCCCGGCTAATTTTGGTTTTTCGGGGGGAGATTGAGAAATGACCAGGTGAACAGTGCTGGAGGACCTCGGGAGTTCCACCTTTGGAAAGGTTCCCAACTATCCAAGGTTGTCCTATCGCGAGATAAATGACGTCTTCTGATTGGTCGTATTTTTCCGTCTTGGGAGCCCCCAGTTTCCACGTTAATTCCGGGCCCACTAATCCATCTTCCCCCGTATTCCAGCGAATCAACATCAAATGCTTGCATATGGGATATGGTCATAGTCAAGTGGACTGATACGTTTGCTATGTTTTCCCCCGGGAGCTTTTGGTTGATTAGGAACGGAGAAATGGAAGAAAGGCATAAGACTCTCAAGCCCGCCGCACATGGGATCATCAATTCGTGGATATTGATTCATACCCGAACATTACAAGTTAAGACAACAACATGGTCTACTCTTCCGATGGCTTCTCCTGGACACCTTCCACTGGTCGCCAGGAAGGCCTTCCAACAATTGGCGTTGTTAAACCCTCGTCACGCTCTGTTCAACCGGAAGACGACATCCATGATGTGATCGTCATTGGAGCTGGATATGCTGGTCTGGTCGCCTCTCGAGACCTGGCCACCCAAGGTAGGCTTTAGAATATGGGCGATCCTCTATCCTCTGCTCAAGCCCGGGACGGCAATAACTGACAGTGTTTTCTTTGCTAGGAAAGACGACACTCCTCCTGGAAGCCCGAGACAGACTCGGAGGCCGCACATGGCACGCAACCATTGATGGCTTCAATTACGAGATGGGTGGAACTTGGATTCATTGGCACATGCCCCATATCTACCACGAGGTCTCCTTGTACGGCCTGCACAACGACTGGATCGTCACGCAAAACCCCGGTGGAAAGGAAGACTACTTCACTGCCATCACGGAAAGTGAGCAGCGTAATATCTCACACAAAGAAGAGGTGTGTACTCAAACATAATATGTCTTGTTCCGTGCGAAGCTCACCTAGATGTAATACAACAGGCCGAAATCTGCGGCAGAGTCTTCCGCATCTTCTGCAATGTCGACGGCAACGATCTCCGACAGACATGGAAATACGCGTTCAGCACTAACCAGTCGCCTGAGCTCATTTCCAAATGGGACAAGCTCTCATGCCAGGACCGCCTCGACCAGATCCGTGACCAGCTATCAGCCGAGGAGGCGAGCCTGTTGCAGGCCCAAATAATGCAGATGGGCGGCAATACCCTGGACAAAATAGGTCTCGTTGGCGTGCTCCGCTGGTGGTCGCTGGGCAGCCACACCCCAACTGGCCTAAATGACATCGGCCTCCACACACGACTGCGAAGTGGAAACAGCGAGCTGCACCGCCGCATCTTCGAGCACGCCCTATCTACCAACAACCTGTCCTACAGATTCAGTGCCCCCGTTCAGCAGATTGAGGACGCTGAAGACATTGTCACTGTGACAACCAGAGATGGTAAGACTTACAAGGCCAGGTCCGTCATCTGCACGGTGCCGCTCAACGTTCTGGCCTCGGTCAAGTTCAGTCCCCAGCTCCCTGCGGACAAGGTCGCGGCTTTGCAGCAGCAGTCGGTCAACAGATGCAACAAGGTCCACATCGATATAAACGGACCCGACTACCTGTCATGGGGCTCCATGGCCACCCCCGGAAAGGGACTGATCTCAGCGTTTGGAGATCATCTCACTCCTGCAAACGACACTCATCTGGTATGCTTTGGTCCTGACCCAGAATGTTCTGCGGGAATTTCACTCGACAATCTCGATGCTGTGAAGGATGCTGTGGTCCACCTCCTGCCCGAGAATAAGCAAGGCGAGGCTGTCATTAACCGTATTGTACGTGAATACCCCCAGGCAGCTGCACTCGCCCCTTCAATTGCTGTCTCTCTTCTCTTGCGTTCATTCTTTTTTCTTTTGTTTTCAATTGTCTCAATAAAATACTGACTTTGTTTTCCAGGTGTCTCATGATTGGAACAATGACGAGTTTGCAAATGGTACATGGTCTTTCCCTCCACCGAACGCGACTGCAAAGAATCTCTCTGTCCTGCAAAGGCCACATGGCAACGTCTTCTTCGCTAGCGCGGACTGGTCGGATGGCTGGTGTGGTTGGATTGATGGCGCTGTGCAGAGCGGTATGCAGACGGCGCACCAGGTCATTCTGGAGCAACGGAAGACTGCGGTTGTCAAAAAGAAGGTTCTGCCAAAGGGTCTCTCTATTGATCTTTCAATTGACCTCTCCAAAGGGATTGTACGATGTGTTATCTAAAGATTGTTGGATACATCCACATGTATGTAGGCACTTGTTGCCGTAGGCCTAGAGATGAAGATAGGGTGGGGAAGAGGTGCGAATATAGAAAGTCCTCGTGTCTGATTTCATATCTAGACACAAATTTTAATTACATCATATCTGAGTTGCAAGGTGATGTGTATAGAAAGATGACATGTATGTCTGTAAGATAACTTGGAAATATATATATAACCTTTCTCTTTAGCCATACCCAATATCCCCATCCTTCCCCCTCCCAAAGTTCAGATATTCATATTGATAAAGAAGCAACTTTGAAAATGGATATAGGTGTTTAAAAATTTTCATTTACGGGCTAAGCTCTTCAGGGACTTCGAGAATCTAAGCAGCAGGAACAATGGAGGCCGATTCAAAAATCACGGCAGCAGCATACAGCTGCAAAATCTCAGGATTCCGAGGAAAGAAATATTGTATCAAACAAAGGTGAAAGATGATTAGAATTGAATTGAGTGGGCCCAAGGAACAGAAAGGAAAATGCCGGCGGGCCTGTGGTGGTGAAAAGAATGGCAATAAAGCATACAGCCATGAAGTGTACAGAATATGAAAACGAAGGGTAAAAGGAAATAGCCCAAGAAGACCGGAATGAGTGAACATTCACTCAATCCTAGTCTTGCCCTCTTCCAAAAAGACGAGACGGGCATTACTAATACCACGCTGGTGCCGTCTGGAAGGAAGCCAGTTACCGATGATGGGATCAGAGCGTGCTTTGATGAGAGCATCCTGGTAGCCCTCAGCGCCAGCGACCGGCGTGTTCAGCTTGGGCCAATTAACCTGAGGAGAAAAAGAAGGTCAGTGGGACAATACATTAAGTTGGTTAGGATGGGAATGAACTTACATAGAGCATGCCATGTCCATGCACGAAACGGAAACAGTAGACCGCCACAAGGAACCAGAAAATCATAAACAAGCGAAGGGGCCAAACAGTGGCATCAGGCAATCGTCTTGTGAAAAGTGCTACCAAGACCATAAACACACTAGCAGCGAGAACATATGGAACTGACTGGATGACAAGTGGTCGCTGGTCAAGGAATAGCTGAATATTGGCAAATGTTGAGTCCGATGGGAGATAGGTGCCCATAAATACGTCGAACCCATCTTGTCGTGGGCCGTCCATAAAATTGTTGCGTACATATCGCGTAATGGAATTATTCAAATCTTGCAGCATGCCGGCCCGCGTACGTTTGCCAGTCCGAGTGAAATCAGTCTTCAGGGCACCAGTACCGGAATAAGACTTGGAGACCACATCTGCGTTGTCTGCCCAGATATTCCGGAACAGGTCTGCAAACTCCTGGTCATCGTTGGCAGTCTCTCCGGGACGGAGAACACCCGCATCCATAAGCTGCCGTGTAACCGCCCAGCGGCCGAGCATGCTCTGCACTACATTGGTGCGGTCCAGGCAGTCCATGCAGTTCGTTCGGACAACACTCGTTTGCGTAGAGCGAGTATCCAACTGCCCACCAGGGGCACCAGGACTCTCCACTCCACGGAAATAACCGCCCTGGGTCAGCCCGTCGTTCAGACGGCCCATGAGAAGCTCTGCACGATGCCACTTGAGGCCCTTAGTCTCGTTGTGGAAATCAAAGTACACATAATGCAGGCGGTCCATCTCTTTCTCCTTGTGCCCTGGTTCCAAAACATGCATCTTTTCAGGGGTGCGTTCATCAGCCTCGGTGCTTTCAGATGTGGAAGTGACTAGTGTCCGAACCAGCTGCTCATATGCGCGCTTCACATTCTCCTCCCTGCCCTTTTGGTTCACGAGATTGACCATGTAGTTTTCTCCGTAGATGCGGATCTGTTCGGCGAAATGCTTCCGCGCAGCTTCGACGGAGGTCTCAACCTCACGAACCTGAAGCTTCGGTGTGTATTTGAGATCATTAACTTCAGCCCAAAATACGGGGACACTGCCTCGAGTTTGCACAAAAGAGTAGACTTGAAGGTCTTGCCCAGCTTTACCACTGGTCATTGATTGACCTCCACCAAACCCAGATAAGCCACCCGCCGAGTCATTCAAGATCACAATCTGCTCGGTCTCGTTGTAGTTTGAAACGTTTCCTTGCTCGTCGATTCCACGAGAGAAGTATCTCGTTCCGGCTCGGTGTCTAGATCGTCGAGTGATAAGCGCGAAGGTGAAGGATGTCGACTTCACTCGGGCAGGAGTAATGCGCATCATGCCGAACATCACTGGCAAAATGTATGGGTCAGCGCCTGGTTGAGGACCGTAGCGAATTCCACTTGTATCGTTTGCCCCGAGGCTGAAGTTGATCAAATCGGATTGAATGAAGCGATTCCAGAAGAAGCGGTCGTCTGCGCCCTTCCACATCGGGACATTAGGGGCATTTTGTGACTGTCGCTGGAAACTATTGGTGATATCCAGCGAGTAGGAGAAATACATGGGTCCCCTTCGAAGTAGGTCTTTCACCACTGTAAGATAGGCATCTTCGTCGGTGTCGTGCAGCGGCCGTTCTCGCATGGGGAGGAATTCTGTTCCGGCGACTTTGTACACCATATGGCCGCGCAACCGTCCCATGGGTTGGGCTTTGGTGATAACAATGATGTATTTATCTGTGAACGTCAGCGCAACCTCCTGAGTTTCTATTTGCGAGCACAATTACCAAGCTTCAGCTTGAGAATTCCGAGAATTCCGGCAATACTGGAAATGCGCTTGGCACCAGGAAGGGGGCCATCGTTCAAGCGTAAATCACCAGTTGGTCGGTCGACTACTAGAGTGGGTGCCTGGCGTGATGATGGCGAAGTAAAGGCATAGTGGGAGGGCGAGGCGTGTAGGTTGATATCCCGAAACGGGAGAATAGGAGGAGCCATGGTTTGGAAATAGAACCTCCTGAAATGAGTGATTACAAAAGAATGTGAAGAGGAACAGACATCAAAAGTGAAATTCAAGTTTCCCGAGTCCCAAAACAGACAAGGGAAGGTACAAAGTAACAGCGGGCCACTCTGGTCAGTACGCAGCCACACCGCCCCGCTGCTCCTGTGGCTGGGCCTTCCGTCATCTATTCCTGTCTGCCTTAAACTACGAGGGTCTTTGAAGTGTCTTGAATCTTTAAATCTTTGTACTCCATACCCTTTGGATCTTTCACGTTTCCCCCTCTCCTACGGGCTTTTAAGACCTTGAATCATATATCTCAGTTCCTCGACCGTTTCATCTTCCTTCCTCCTACTCTCCCAGACCCTCCATCCTCTCTCCTGATCATGGCTTCCAGGCAAGCAGCAGGAGCCCGCCCGGGCGCAAGATTTGCTCAGTTCAAGCTCGTCCTTCTTGGTATGTTCTGATATTGACCTGCTTCTTTTTTAACCTTGAATCTATGGCTGACATTTTGTGCTTATAGGAGAGTCCGCCGTCGGAAAGGTTTGGGATACCACTTGCGATCTTCTTTATCAACCGCTGACTTGACCGCTATCTTCTAGAGTTCGCTAGTCCTCAGATTTGTTAAAGTGAGTCCTCAACGATCGCCATATACCTTCCCGCGGCCAGCCGAACGTACATGGAGTAATAAAATGCTAATCCCTCCGTTCAGGACCAATTCGATGATTATCGCGAGTCGACGATCGGAGCCGCCTTCCTGACACAGACCATCTCCCTCGATGATACCACCACAGTCAAGTTCGAAATCTGGGATACCGCTGGCCAGGAGCGGTATAAGTCGTTGGCTCCGATGTACTATCGCAATGCCAACTGCGCTGTGGTTGTCTATGACATCACTCAAGCTGTATGGTCTAATCCTGCATCGTGCCTTTGACTTCATTGTTAGTATAGAAGCTAACATTCATGAAACTACCATATAGTCGTCGCTAGACAAAGCCAAATCATGGGTGAAGGAACTCCAGCGCCAAGCGAATGAGAACATTGTGATTGCCCTGGCAGGCAACAAGCTTGATCTTGTCACAGAGAGCCCTGATAAGCGAGCAATCCAAGAGGCCGACGCCGAGGCCTACGCACGTGAAGCAGGTCTGCTTTTCTTCGAAACCTCCGCCAAGTCCTCGACAAATGTCAAGGAACTATTCACCGCCATCGCCAAGAAACTACCTTTGGATCAGGCCGGTCCTCGGAACTTGCGGGCGACACCTCGCCCTGGCGTTGACTTGCGACCAGAGGCTCCTGGAACTCAGGGTGCTGGTGCGTGCAATTGTTAAACAATTACCCGATCATATCCTCCCTCAGCCAGTTTGCCATCGCCTCGCCCACAGTTGGAGAGAGAGAAGGCAAAAGGCTACACATCCCCGCATCGTTCAACGGTGGTATAACTCTGTGAATTTCTATGATTTCGCCAATGTCATTCGATCGGACTCTGGCCCATTCCCTACCCGCTACGGAGCCGAGGGATAGACTCTCGGTTCATGATCAATCTAACCCTCTCGGATTTTTCTTTGCTTCTTTTGTCCTTGCTCAGCCTGCTCAACTGGGGCTTCATAAGTCCCCCGTTGACAGAATGATTTAACTTCCATGGACCTACATGGAATTTGGCTTTAGATATGCTGCAGCTGGATCTGTCGGTGCTTTGACGGTGCTGTTCCTTCTGTACTCCTTGTTCCTTCTCACCTGGCGTCTGCATCTGCTCTTTTTTCTTTCGTCCTATGCCTTGGGCTGAATTCCTGATATTCCCGTTACCCTTGTCTCTCTCAGAATTCTTAGTATGTTATGCTCAAATAATACATTTTCCTCACCTGTATGTACAGTGGAGATCTACAATTAGTGACGTAGGTAGACCGAACAGGCACTTAAGCTTTGTCGACCTCGCTTCTGAGTATAGTCAGCAAGTGTGGATGTTTTGTTACTTGGGTTTCGGATTTATGTGTATTGCGTCGATATATTCCTCGGTTGGTGTTTAGAAATCAACACCCCCAAACACATAGCCAGTAGCTAATATTCGGGAAAGGATGTGTCTATATTTATGAGCCAACTTCTATTTTTATCTTTTACTGCAATGAATCCAAACTTCAACTATACTTCCTGATGTTGATATGTACGGAAGTGGGCATGAAATGGCGCGCAAAGTCACACTGACCGCCCGCAGGATTATCGGGGCGGATCGCAACTGAGCAACCAAGTTCCCGTTTTCCTACTCATCCATCTTTCTGATCACCTTTAGCCACTCATTTTGGCGATTGTGCGGCTCGTCATGCTGCGCTCTTCGATTGCTCCGGGTCGGCAATTGCTGTCGAACCCTGTCCGCCAACGGATTCCGTCACAATGGCTGTCCAGAGCCAATGCAAGCAACCGGCTGGCAGGTCAGGTAAAGAGAACCATATCCACAAGCTTCCTCTATCTTCATACTCACAATCACTACGCGTAGCGATTCTTCGCCGATTCTAAGCCCCCTACCACCGGTGGTCCGACACCAGTTTCCCCTTCCTCCGAATCCAGTGTCCCTCCCGAGACCATCTTGAAGGCCGCTGAACAAGGTATGACGACCCCCTCGTTCATCAATTACCATCGAGGCCTAGCCCCCATGTCCTAATGCGATATTTTTGCAGAATCTAAGCTTCCTCCCTCACCTCCGGCAGCTGCTCCCCGCAAATCCGGTCGTTTCCGTCGGTTCTTGATTTATCTGATCCTCACATCCGGCTTTGCCTATGGTGGCAGCATCTTCCTGGCCCTGAAGTCCGACAACTTCCACGATTTCTTTACCGAGTACATTCCCTACGGTGAAGAATGTGTTCTTTATTTCGAGGAGCGCGACTTCTACCGCCGCTTCCCCAATGCCTTGAGACACCAAAACCGTCTCCCGGTTGTACCCCGAGAGGAGGGAAAGCCCGTCACAATTCCTGGAAAGAGCGGTCTCTCTTGGAAGCTTGCTGAAGAAGAGAAGGCCAACGCCGATTCTAAGAAGGCGGCTCACGAGAGCCACACCAAGTCCACGACCGCCAAGCCCGAGGATCGGAACGCTACCGTCATCAAGGCCAAGGAAGACACGGCCTCGAAGCACACCACCAAGGAAACGAAGTCTGAGTCCGAGCCCGAGGCCAAGAAACCCGTCTCGCTGGATGAGCCCAGACAACCTGCTGTTTCTGAGAGCACCATTGAATTGCTTAAGCTGCAGGATGGTGATGACGCTGTTGTCCAGGATCTCGTCAAGACCTTCAACGACATCGTTACCGTCATCAGTGCCGATGAAAACTCCAGCAAATACTCCGCGCCTGTCGCCAAGGCCAAGGGCGAGCTGGAGAAGATTGCTGAGAAGATTGCTGCTATTCGCAGTGAGGCTCGCAACACCGCCCAGGAGGAGCTCAACAAGCTCCATGCTACCTTTGATGAATCGGCACGTGAATTGATGCGCCAATTTGAGGAAGTGCGCTCCACTGATCTTGCTTCATTCCGTGAAGAGTTCGAGGCCGAGCGCGAGAAGCTCGCCCACGCATACCAGCAGAAGGTCAACACCGAGCTCCGTCACGCTCAGGAGCTTGCTGAGCAGCGCCTTCAGAATGAGCTTGTTGAGCAGGCCATCGAGCTGAACCGCAAGTATGTCCATCAGGTCCAGAGCCTGGTCGAACGCGAGCGTGAGGGTCGTCTGAGCAAGTTGACTGAGCTCACAGCTGACATCAACGAGCTTGAGAAGCTGACCGCTGGATGGAGCGACGTTATTGACACCAATCTCAAGACTCAGCAGCTGCAGGTTGCCCTGGACGCCGTTCGCACTGTTGTCGAGCGTGCTGAGACCCCCCGGCCGTTCGTCCGTGAGCTTGTGGCCGTGAAAGAGCTTGCTGCTGGTGATGCTGTCGTTGAGGCTGCCATCGCATCTATCAACCCCGCCGCTTACCAGCGCGGTATTCCCTCCACCACTCAGATCTTCGAGCGTTTCCGCCGAGTTGCAAGTGAAGTCCGCAAGGCTAGCCTGCTGCCCGAGGATGCCGGTGTGGCCAGTCACGCTGCCAGCCTTGTTCTGAGCAAGGTTATGTTCAAGAAGGATGCTTTGTCAGAGGGTGATGACGTGGAGAGCATTCTCGTGCGCACCGAGAGCTTGTTGCAGCAAGGCGATGTTGACGCCGCCGCTCGGGAAATGAACACTCTCCAGGGCTGGGCCAAGATTCTCAGCAAGGACTGGCTGGGTGATGTTCGCAAGGTTCTTGAAGTCAGACAGGCTCTCGAAGTAAGTTTTGGTTGCACCTTTCGGTTTGGTAATTTTCAACAGATCCACTAACAATTCTTTTCACAGGTCATCGAGGCCGAGGCCCGCCTCCAGTGCTTGCGGGTTGAGTAAGCGCATATTTTGAGCGAAGCTGAATTCATTTTCCCCTGTATATCCTCGTCTTTTACAGGAACTGTACCTCTAGTTGTACTTGTGCTTTAGACCCAAATGCTAGAACTTTCCCATGTCTATTGAGTCATCCAAGGTGTGCAGCATGCAGCCTCTGTGCTCTAGATCTCAATATATCTTTTACACTTGAGTTAAATCCCGAATAAGTTTAATGCTCAAGTCTTTCAGGGTTTCGTACCCAGGCGGGTCCAGGCTGCGAATAAAGTGATTACGTAACGTTGGCTGACGCGCATTCTGATCTACACTGAGGATGTTACGTCTTTCAGGCTAATCATGCAACATTGTCTTTAATTTCACTGTTATTTGAACCCTTGCCAACTTGGCTTATCGCATTTATGCTCGTGTCTGGCCAAATTATGTCCGTCTCTTTCCCGAACGTTGCCATCTAGCATTGTTGCCCTTCCCGCAGCAATGTCGCAACAACCAAACGAGCCCCCTGTACGATCTTCAATGTCCCCGGCGAATATGCGACCCCGAGACCGATCTCCAGCAACTGCGCCGTCCCTACTCCGATCCGATGAGGGCTCATTTCGCCAGACCCAACCCCGAAAGAACGACGGCCAAGCGAGCGGAGAGCTGGAAGGTACTACACTGGGCAGCGGTTCCCGCGATGGAGATCGAAGGACACCGGGCCAGCGGAGGACCCAGAGCTCAAGTGGTTTCTTGCTTGACTCATTGCCCCGCGCGCGAAGCACAAGAGTTAGCCTGCACCGCCCTCGCCCCTCGGAACCTCCCCAAGAGAAGCGCAGCGTTCCAGAACCGGATATTGTGGTCCCCAAGAAACGCTCGCGATTTCCATGGAGCCGACATAAGCACCAGGCATCTGGAGTAATGCCAGAGGATACAAGTTCAAGTTTGATCAGTGTTCAGCAAGCTTCTGATCCTGCTGATAGACAGCCCTCCGGAAGCTCCTCTCAGCCCGAGGCACAGGAAGAGAATGTGACACATTCCACTCCTGGTCTTGATAGAGACTCGATTCAGATCGTGAATCTAGCTTTGAATCTTAATGAATCTCGGAAGAGGACGGCTTCTGGAATACCCCCAGCCTCCGAGGGCCGAAGACCAATATCTGTCTCTCAACCTGCTGTTCTGACAGTAGATGGCTATGCATATTCCCCACGAGCGAGGAATTTCCAGCGCGACTCGTCGTATCGCAATTTTACTCAGGTCTCTGGTAATCGTTTGTCACAGGGAACACTGCCGAGCCTAGAGCAATCATCTGTTGTGAATTTGTTGCCTCCGTCCGCGATTGAGGATCACCGGGCATACGAATTCTTCGAAAGTACTTTGGCTCGTGCTGAGAGAGCACGCAATCATTTTGATTTATTTCATGAATATATGCGGCTACTGCCCTCGTTACCGCCTCTTCAAGACGCAGCCAAGGGTGACGCTGAGTCTAAACCACGGAGACCCTACCGAGGTTATAACCCGCTTCAAATGATTCGCAACAGGAAAGTCAGATATCGTGAGAAATGCTCCATTGATGCAGCCGCAGAAGGATGGCATGACGTTGAAAGAGTCCACCAATGGATTAATGAGGTTGAACAAAAATACAGCCAAAGAGAGTATGACCAACTAGATTGCTTAAAGCTGCCACCGTTCCAACAAGGTCGGCGCCATGTGTCTATGGGGGAACAAGAAGATATGGATGTGATGCCAACCTCTCCGGAATCGAGCTTGCGGCGAGTCAGCCGAACCAGCAGCATGAAGGCCCGTCGACCACGTATTGATTGGAAGATCTCGCCAGCAGAGCTTCTGGCCGATGCCGCCTGGCTGGAATATAGCACCAACAAGACGAAGGTGGTCGACAAGGATGGCCGTAAACTCTACCCTGACCCCACAAAATTAGTTATCATGGACAAAAGTGATGACTTCGGGACGCCTAATAAGCAGCAACGACTTTCGGTTGAAGTGGCAGATCCCGGAGAGGCACGTTCCTCACCACGCACTTCTGTCTCCGGTTCTCACCCTGCATTGGCGCAGGAGTTCAAGAGCGTGGGTCGTGGGCGGCACAGGCACAGATTTCGAAGTCATTCGCACAGCTTACGCACCCGTAGTGCTTCTAGCAAACGAAAGCCGTCACGATGGGATCATGTCAAAATGCGTTCGGGCAGCGTCTCGAGTTCTTCAAGCTCAGATACCCACCCTTCTGTCGATGAAAAGCCTCGCATGTCTCGGGAGAATATCCGCGACCATGTGCAAAGATTCGTTGAACATGCACACTCGGGATCTCGGACATCCCGCGCCAGATCACCTGCCGTTCATGGCGCTGACATTGATCGGGGAAGGACACCACAGCCAATTGAGCCGTTATCAGTCAACACAAAGCGAGCCCGCAAGCACAGAAAACGTTCTGTCTCGTCAGCAGGCAGTGTTGATGACCGGCATGATCCTCGTATGTCCCTGGAAGGCATGGATAGCACTGCGCCTAACTCTCCTGCTCGCGTTGGCTACTTCCCGAGTATAGCAGTAAATCTGTCACCCCCGTCAAGTCGATCTCCCTCGCCCGCAAAGAAGGGTCTCCGTCATAAGATTGTTTCACGCCACGAGCGCAGCAAGAGCAAACAAGCAGATCGAGAGCGAGAGCGGGAAGATGAATTGCTGGAACCTGAGGCTTGGCGTCAGCGAAATCCGACGACTCCTGCGCGAACGGAGGGTGCCTCTAAGCTCGAGCCGAGTCCTCTTCCTGACGTCGTTTCGTCATCTTACGATGATCAAGGAACGCAGGAAGGCAATCGGGTAGATGGACATCGGTCCCGTAAAGGGCCCCACCTCCCCGAATCAAAGCTACGAGGAATATTCAAGGGACCAGGTCGGATCGCAGAAATCGTAGGTAATGAGGTCTCCAAGGTCGGAGATCTCATTCTGAAGAAAGATGCAGATCCTGAATCTCGGAAATCATCATCCGCCACCACTTTTGCATCAGATGATAGCGATTCCGATGATGAATCTAGAGGCGATAGGAAGTCTGGCCCCAAAGGCCTTCTTCGCCGCCTGCCAACATTCACGGATGAGCCTGGGCGATTGACTCGTAGAGATTCCGAGAAAAACTCCTCCCGAAGCTTCATTCCCTCTCTGCCGACCTTCACGTCACCCCTGCGGCAAGATGAACGAAGCGAAGCAGCAGACGTGACCAGTTCTAGCAGTCATCGCGAAGGAAATCAAGATTCCCGTGATTCCCCCAAGAAGTTCTTGCTGCCACGCAGCAGAACCCTTGATTTCAGCCCTTCTCTACAGACGGGACGGACAAAACGCCGCGAGATGAAAGACCCTTCAATCCCTTTCAGCTTAACACAACCTCCTGTCACTGGACTCGCCAACGTTCGAGCATCACCTGGGCTTTCTCCGGAGGGAAGACGCTCAGGGCTTTCAGGTGCTAGTCGCTCCTGGAGTATATCTGGGCGCAGTATCCACACCTTGATCGACACCGGCGTACCTGGCAAACCAGAAGTCGAGCGTACACGAGCTCTTCTATTATCATCTGGTATTAAGGCTCGGGAGATTACTCGCCGAGCTCACACTTCCCGTGAGCCAGTTCCTCACTGGCTTCAAAGCGCCGTAGGCCCTGTGGCATCTGTTCCACAAGTGACGCGGGCCGGCGAGTTCGACCTCGCTGCTCAATGCCTCCTCCGGCGCTTCGAGCACACACAACACTCATTCCAGCAATCCATGCATCATTTCTCCACTTCCACCTCGTCGCCTCTCCGGTCCCAGCTGAGGAACTTAGAAAACCTGGTCAACCATTCTCTGGCCCCTCGCGTCCGAGCCACGGCAAATGATGCCGAGGATCTGTGTGTCCAGCTCAACACCACCAGTACACTCGCCGTTAAGCAGCTGAGTGATGCCCTCGACAAAGGCCTTCGTAAGCGCCGTCGTCGATTGCGGTGGATCCGCCGCACTGGGTTCATGGTTTTGGAATGGGCCCTTGTTGCTATGCTTTGGTGGGTGTGGTTGATTGTCATGGCTTTCAAGCTTGTGCGTGGTGTCTTCCGGGGTGCCTTTACTGGTATCCGATGGGTCTTGTGGCTTTGATTGCAGGCTGCATTTGCGCATTTCTTCTTCATTGTTGTGCCGTGCCCACTACCCTCTTGGGGACTTTTATTTTTACATTACTACTTTTAACTCCATCGCCCTTGTTTGGCGTGTATATACCCTTCCAGTGGGCTTGTTTATGCCTGCTGTCTTCTTTTCTAATTCACCATACATGATTTAATGGAGCGTTGCATCTGTTTCAAATGATTCCCAATATATGTTGGCTTCACATTTTGTACATAATCCAGCTATCTCGTCTTTGTTCCAATGCATAATATGTTATATAGTTAGCTTGATGCTATATTTTGTTATATGGTTCTTCGTCTTCCGCTGCTAGGGATTGCTGTTTAGCACTATCTTGCGAGGTATTGGAATATTGTTGCTTGAGTTGAAACTATATGAATTTACTAATTTGAGCGCCGTAACTGATAGTACTTTCACTCATTTCACATTATTCTATCCAATTTTGGTACATCATCAAATACGATAACAGCCATGGCTAAACGAGTACCTATTCTTTTTACCGCACGTGCCGCAAGAAAATGGCCCCGAATCGACACCTGAAATTTGGGCTGAAACAACAAGATAGTGATGGCTGAATGTGATGTGGTAAAAGCACTGGATGGCCCCTCCAAAAGACCGACCATTTTTGAATCATACTGCCCACCTTTTTATGCTTCTATAGGTTTGAATTTAAATTTTGTTTATTCACAGGACCTATCATCAAAACATATCAGAAGGGTCTATAGTATCGGAGAAAACTATTCCAATGCGATTAGGAAGCCAGATTGGGTTACGATCATCTGCATGAGGGGCAGCGCTCAGCCTCACCATCAGCTGAACAGAACTTACGCGCTATAGGATAAATAGCAAGGCGCTTCGTCGATGGGGGTCAAAAAGACCATCTCATTTCCTCCCACAAATCTGACCCCAAATTTTTCAAGCTCGAGTTACTCATTCAACAATGCTAAGCACAAAGGACTACAGCGTGGGCTGGATTTCGGCCATCAAGCCTGAATATGTTGCCGCAGAAGTATTTCTGGATGAAACGTACGATCGCCCTGCCGATTTATCGCCTGATGACAGCAACGACTATACTTTTGGCAGGATTGGGAAACATACTGTGGTTATCTCCGCTCTTCCCAAGGGAGCTTACGGCATATCTTCAGCTACTGGTGTGGCTAAGGATATGATCCGTAGCTTCACCAATATTCGGATTGCCCTTATGGTTGGCATCGGCGGTGGTGCACCAAGCCCAGAGCACGACATTCGGCTTGGTGATATAGTCGTTGGGGTTCCTGATAATGGTGAATGTGGCGTGCTGCAGTATGACTTTGGCAAGGCAATCCAAGGCGAAAGCTTCAAACCAACTGGCTTCCTCAGCCCGCCGCCTAGATCCTTACTTGGGGCGGTACAAGGACTCGACAAACAGTACACAATCAAGGGTCATAAAATTGAAGAGGCGGTCAACGAAGTACTCAAAAATTATCCGCGGTTGACAAGAGAATTTGGACGGCCAGAACCAGCGACAGATCGACTTTATAAGAGTGATATTGTCCATCCGTCTGAGAGCAAGGCACCTTGCCCTACTGCTTGCGGCGATGATGAATCCTTGTTTATTATCAGAGATGAGCGTCCCGAATACGAAAATAACTCCAAGGTCCACTACGGTCTGATCGCATCCGCAAACCAACTTATGAAGGATGCTATTATTAGGGACGGATTTGTCAAAAAAAACGACGTCCTATGCTTTGAGATGGAAGCAGCTGGATTGGTCAATTACTTCCCTTGTCTTGTGATACGTGGTATCTGCGACTACTCCGATTCACACAAAAACAAAGCGTGGCAGGGCTATGCGGCAATGGTTGCTGCGGCCTACGCTAAGGACCTACTGAATCGGCTTGTCCCTGCTCAGGTCGCGCAGGAAGAAAAGGTCACTCAAGTGCTGCAGGCTGGCAATACCAATCACAATACGAATATCATATTTGGGGGCTACAACTCAGGTGTCCAAATTGGTCAGAACAACGGTACATTTACGCAGGGAGCAGCCCGTTCGGGTTGGTGACGAGGGTCTTTCTTGAGAGAGCCACTATTTCTGTTCATTTCATATTGTTTTCAAGAGTCTCTTTTACTAAGTTCGTAGAAAGAATAGCAATGCTTCCATCTCATTTTGACTACAAGAATGGGCAGCTAGGACAGCTGAACGAGCACTAGAACTTGACAACCAGGTATCTGGGTATGTGTTTCAGCTGAATATGTCCCAGGAGACTTACATTGGCAACCCTATATACAAGAGTAGGTATGATATTTGTACATATATTGTCAACAGCCCTCGCTTTATGTGTAGAAGCTGTACCTACCTAGATTTCGCGTAGAGAAGTGTCCCTTTTACAGTCAACTGTACCTAAATCAAGAGTATAAGACCTTTGAAGTGTTACCAGGCTCCTCCCAGAGGTGGCTAGGTTCGCTTCTCTCAATCAGCCTGAAGTTGTTCGACAAAAGGAAGAAGAGAGGCTTGAAGCTTTCTTGTAACCCCAAGTTATGTCTGTGGCCATGTATGACTTCAGACCCAAGTCCGTGTTCTTCATCATGCTCTTCGGGTATAAGAACCCTCAAAGCCTCATCAAGGTAGTCGTTACTCTCCGTAGTTGAATTCTTTCGTGATTCCAGATGTGGCAGGAAAGACAAGATGTGTCGTTCCATATAAAATGTGACAAGAGGGTGTTGATGATGATCCATAGGACGAATGGCTGACGACAGGCCCAATGGAGAAATATGAATCCCTACCTTGGGTTAGTAATGTATAAGATATAACATTAGACCACTGGTTATATCCGATTCTTTACAATTCCGATTCACCATTTGCAGGAATTGCAACCAAGGTAGACTGTATGGCCATTGAAACACGGGTATTGATATAGGTGAGCATGTGAAAATGCCTTCCGGCATTTCAGGGGACGGGACTGAACGAAGTTAGAGGTATACTATCGATCCGGCGATATTGAAGCTCACCTGAATACATCTCAGTCGCTGAGATAAATCCATGATTTGAGATTACAGTTTGAACCTTTGCAGGTGGGCATTGGACGCCATCGATAAACCGCGCCATTTTTTCCAAGCCGCCTTCGCTTTTGGACCTTTCTGTTGATGATTCTCCACTAGCCCGGACTCAATGTTGTTTTCGAACCCCCCATTCTTTGAACGCAGCTTCGTATTGGTTTTTTCTGTTCACTGTTACAAATGCATTCACTCAGAAAGATCGGAGAGGTACATTTTATGAAACCTTCGTCTCCTCTGGAGTATGCTCATCACTTCTTTCTGAAATTTGTCCTGTCTAAAATAAAGACGATTCATCTCATCCTTGTGGTCTTCCCATTCGTCACGTTCCATGGCTAGAGGTACAATACTCAACGAATACTGATGTTGATGAACGGGGAAAGGATTATCTAGAGAAGTAGATCATGAAGAAGAGAAATTGGAAATTGCCATCTCTTTATATCTATCTGCATATAAGGTTGGTTAGTGCCCAGTAGGCAACTAATGTATAGGTAGGCACATAGTGTCGAAAGCTATATTATAATACATGATTAGGAACCCAAGTATTTAATACCTCGGAAAAGATATGGGCCGCTGTGATAGTGGGCCCTATATAAATTATATATTAGGCTTAGTTAGGTATGCCTAAGCAGATTGTAAATAGTGTATTTTTGTTATTTTAGTTAGTTAGAGTTATACACATCTGTCATTTTGACGATACATTGCTGTACCCGAGATATCTGTCATGTAGTACTATATATCTCTCCTTGATTCAAATTTGATAGGTTGTGAGGGTGTCCTGTACTGAAACCAGGCTAATACGTAAAATAAGTAATCTATAACGAACATAATTCGGCTGGGTACACTCAGCCTTGACTCTAGAATGGTTTCACTGGCTGTAGACCAAAACCTCCTTCCAGAACCGTATTACGGAGAAAAATGTAAATTACCGATCTTGGACGATCCCAGGCTACCTGGGCAGAAGTATTCACATTTATAGATTCAACATACAATCCGATCTTGGAATCCTTTTGTTTTTCTACCCTCACACTCAATAATTTTCCTTTTCTTCATTTCAACTGTTTCCATTCTCCTCATCTGGTATATGGTATCATTGATACTGTATATACATCGATTCAAACAAGAACAGGTGAAAACTACGGGGTCTATCTCATACTTTCTTCGAATGGATTATCCGAGAAATTCCACAAAGGAAACTGTCGCATGTCAAGAAGAGAGCATGGCAGATCCAATGTATTCTCTCTTCGAGTCATCAATTCCTAATTTCACTTTAAGTGATCTTCAACTCCTTGAACAATACATGCCCTGGAATGAGTCGGAGTTCTATGAGCTTGATGGGATGGCCCCACATATCTCGATACCCGTCCCGGCCAAGCGTCCCACAGCGAATCATCAGTCTCCGATCTATGGAAATGCCAATCTCAACAACCAAGGTGCAGCAAATCGTGGAAGTATAGATCTCGACATCAGTCCTACCCAAAGAAGCCAGGCTAGAAAAAATTACCCATTAGACCAGTGCAAAGTTGCCAACTCCGAGTAAGTTGTTTCCACATCGATTCCCGAATTAGATCTAACAATGGGTTTGTCAAGCACCAAAAACCCTATATGGAAATGCGGCTGGCAAGGTTGTGACTACAAGGGCATATTTGGGCGCAAACATGAGCTGATGCGACACATTGACACCAAACATGTCAATCCTCGCTCACACTACTGTCCCGTACCGGGCTGTCTAGGCACTTTCAACCGCAAGGACAACCTCGACGAGCATTTCCAGCGAGTCCACGGGTAAACCTGGGGCCTCTGCCTTTCTGTGGCGTTCGTATCATTTACTTTCTCTTGCCCAGCTAGTTCTCTCTTCTTTCTTAACTTCATCTCGCGCCCCATGTTGTTGTTCGTTTCCTTTCCTTCCCATACTATCATGTCGTGCCGTGTTTTCCTTTTCCTTCCCTTGCTATCCCTTGTTATCCGTCTCCTTTTTTTCTTTTCTTGGTGCATTCTATTGATTCTTTTTCTATCTTTTGCATCGTTTTCTCATTTATGTTAGTGATCATGATCAAGTCCCTTTGCTGAAAATCTATTTTTCTTCGTCTTTTGGATAGAGTAGAAGTATCAATTCAGGAGCAATTCTGGTCTCTAACCCAAATAGGGAATGTACACTTTCTTTTCTGTGCGTATACTTAATGCGAAAACCATCAACCATAAGTCCATACACAGTAAAGAAGGAAATAACTAATATTCATATAGCCATGTGTGGGTTTAGTGCATGTATCGGAGGGTCAATTAGTCAATTTCTCCTTGTCGTAACTAGAGCGTAGAAATATGCTACACGAGAACAGCAACTCAAAACATGATTCACATAGAAGAAAGAAAGAAGAAGAACACAGTAGCACTTAGACATAGGATCACACGGCAAGTCTGGTTGTGCTGTATCTACCATTTCTTCTTCAGGCCCATGAAATCTTTATCCTGGGTCACAGCATCGCCCGCTGCCTCAAACACCCTGACAATCCGAGAGTTCCTCTCTTTAACGTTAGATAACATAATGTCAATTGCCTGTGCGGCCTGCTCTGCAAGAATCATCTCATCTGCTTTTGATGCTTCGTCGGCAATTTGATGTAACCGCTTAAGCCAGTATAACCATCTCCAAGGACTAAATCCACTAGGTGCCCGTTGACCTAGCTCCGACTGGGTAAAGATGAACCCACATGTTGCTATGGTACTGTGAGAGCAATCATTCCATGAGAAATCGGATAAGAGTATGAGGTTTTGCCCAGCTTCTCGGATCCAGGCACAAGCAGATGGGAGCAACGAAGCAATTCTAAGGAAATCTATTGATCGCTGACTGTCTTCCTTTTCGGCATCCGACTCATTAGAGCTGCCAAGGGGACGCTCGGCCTCGAAAGTCTCACGGAAAAGGAGCAGAGCAATCTGGCAAAGCTGATCGTTTGCAACACGCGTAGACGCAAGCTTCGCAAGGAAGGTGGCAGCATTAAGACGCTGCTTTGAGTCCATTTCCGCGCAGTTGTTGATCCAGAACTCTGTCATGTCGGTCGCAAGGAACGGCAGATCGTTCCAGACTGTCCCATTGGTAGTTCTAGCAATATCGATGCCACCGCCCGGTGCCGGCCTGGTGAGAGGCCCGCGTCCCCGCGTCCGGAGGATGTCGAGGATCCATTTGTCTTGCTCAAAGCTTTCGTAGGAGACATGTTTGGCGCATTGACAATAGACGTACCAGAGAGAATGCAGAGTGGGCTCGCAGGAATCAATTGACTCCCGGCTTGCGCAATAGCTTTGGCCCATGTACCATACTCTGTTGTATGTCACAGATCGGAGGACGTCGAAATCCCCTGCTCGCGCAGCCTCCTCCACGCCCGCCAAATCCGATGGGGTGTTTACAGCGAAAGCATGAGGTGTATCTCGCGGTGAATCTTTTAATAAGTCGTGCATCCTAAGTTCAGCAAAGTAAAGAGCTGGTTGAACCGATTGGTAATGAGTGTCACGAGGGTGAATCTCTAAAAATAAGATGAACTTAGGAGAGATAGAGTGCAATGGGATTAGACAACGGATATGATATTTATAAAGTAAGAAACGTTTGGGGGTAGATAAAGACTAGTAAGAAGATGCTGTCTCTGTGACAGGCAACGCCAATCTTTTGCTTCTCTCTCTGTGACAGGCAGCAACAATTTTTTGCTTCCAATCAGACCCGTATATCATTGGTGATAAACCATTTGTGACACCCCTGCTTAGGGTAGGAGACCCACTGCGGATCAGGAAAAGATCAGCAGAAGGCGTGTCCATGACTCGATATCTCGAGCTAGATACGCTGGCAACATAATTTAGGGGAATCCTCCAGGGCTGACCAGACTAGACTCTAGTGATGTAGCGCTCGACAGCAGAGTTGAAAATATGGAGTACAAGAGGCAAATTATAGATGTCGAGATAACATTTTATACTCAATGTTGGTATTGTATACGGAGTAGAAAATAGGACAATAGATTCTGAAATGCAGTAAACTTGTATGTATGCCTCTACAGTGGTTGCTTCACAGTTGATCCAGTAGCAGTATAGAAGTATCAGCCTAGGAGCTTCACACCTTCTGACAGATACACTCTCTACTGGAAGAATCAAAATAGCATTGCTTATCCTCAATTGCGTCAGTACACTGTGTGTAGAAGTTAGCATACCACTGGAGAAATGGGTTCCAGGGCAAATTACCGATTTGAACTTGCAAGAACAGATACCATGCCCCCCAGCTGGAGTCCGATAATGGCATTGATTGTTTTCTGGACGGCACTCCTAGTTTGAAAAGATCAGGCCCTTCGTCTCGTACCTCAATGAACCTTAGAGACTTACTCCTTTGTACTTAATCCGGCGATTTTCTTCGTTTCTGACATCCAAGTCATTTGATGTAGGAGACCTAGGGCTCACTGGGTTGGCTAATGCTCCCAGAGCAGCAGAGAGGGCAAGTCCAAAAGACATAAAGGTAAAAGCTTTCATGATAACGACGAGCACCTTTGGGTACTTGAGAAACAGGACTGGTGTTCTGGAAAAGAGATTTGTATTTGTATCTAATCTCCGGTATATCGGGTCTGTAGTCATCTTATATAGACTCGATTTCAATCCATGGTAGGAGCTCTCAGACAGGACAACAGTCGGAGGCCTACAGGTCGTTAATGGCTGCCTGGGCAAACTCGCAACGACAGTAAGGTACATGGGAACATTTCGGCCGTTCCAACATGCCAAGCGTCCCTCCAAAGAAGGCATACATATGATGCATCAACCAATTACTAAAGCCAATTTTGTTAGCTGATTGTGGGTATACCGCCATGGGCCAACTCCACAGTGGACTAGCCGCTAGCTCCTTTCCCAGAGCTGCACAGCGGAGAAGAGTACTAAATAAAAATGCATGGCCCCAGTGGATGTCCCCTATTGGCATCTTACTAGCGCACAGCTACCTAAGCTAGAGATGTACGCCCGTGCATTGGTGTTGTCTCAAGATTGCGGCACGGCCTTAACCGATAGTTCGCTGGACCCTGGGAGATCGTCGCCCGCACTACGCTAGAAAAATACGCCCGTGCATTGGCGCGTGCATGTGTGTTGTCTCGAGATTGCGGTATGGGGCCTTAACCGACGGTTCCCCGGATCCAGGGCGATCGTTGCACCAGGCTACAGTCAAACCGCGTTAAAAGCGACCCTGCATTTTTGTAAAACCCGTTGACTTTCGAAGAATTTAGACTCCCGGATTATTTTACCATCTCAAAGACCTCGGGAGCGCCAAGGCTACGTAATTATGCTTAACCTCGATTTTACACTTTTATTTCGAAGCCTACCGCCCACGTGGTACACGTGATATGTAAATACTGCCAGATTTTAACCTCACTTTCTCTCTAAACAAGGAAATCGCTTCTAAATCATTTCCAACGGCTTCTACTATCCCTACCGCGCAGAAGATTACTTTGATAGAATTCTATTCTAGATTCCCAAAGCCTATTCTCTCTGTCTGCCATTCTTGGTTCAATTTGAAATGAATGGGGGATCAGAAGTTCCTTGACGCCCCTTATGTCCGCTAACAAATACTAACAAAAACACTAACGTATTCGGTAAACGAGCTGGCCATGTAAACGAGCTGGCCACCCCAACTAATACATTAATTTTAAATGTAAATATGTCAACCAAAACTCCATTAAATTAAATACACTAAAATCATCTATCTAGTAGGGCATCTATTAAATACATGACCTGTATCTCTGCATCCACTGCATCTTCGTGGCGCCCGCGTACGTGGTTGTAAAGCCGGCGAAGGGCTTCTTCGTGGAGGGGGGGTAGGTGCTTCAATTGCTTCCACCGGCCTAGTAATTAATTGAGAAGCTTGTTGAACTGTTAGGCCTGCTTCGGCCTGTATCTGCCTTCGGGATCGAGTACGCTTTTGCTTCTGCTTCTCGTTGGCGGCCCGTAATTCCTTGTTTTCTTTAGCGAGTAAGATGGTACCTTGCATTGTAAGACGGAAGCCTTTTATAAGCTGGTTTAATGCACGATCTGATGGGCTAGGCGGGCTTCGAGATCTAGTACGAAGTAAAGCTTTAATTGATGAAGCCTGTCGACGTAGTTCTTTCTCTGTAATAGGGGTTTTTGGGGTAAAATTCCGGCTTGATTTACTACCCCGGCTAGCAGGGGGTGTTGGGGTTCGAAGCCGGATATTGAGCTTTGAAATCACTCGGTTGGGTCTAAATGGTACTAAACCGGTAGCTAAGAAGCTATTTTTAATCGTCTCCGATTTAAAAGCTTTAATTCGCGTAGAGGGGTATACTTCGAGGAAGTCAAGTTTATTAATATGATTAATCCTGACCTGTATCTTAGTCTTAACTATCCGACTATACGATCGTTTTAATACCGCAAAACAACCTATATTAAGAGGTTGTAAAAGATAAGATGAATACGCTGGTATATAGATTGGTATCACTTTATTTTGCTCGTAAATTTCATTAAATTTAGGTGTTAAATGACTTCCGTGGCTGTCGAGTATTAAAAGCTGGTATACCCCTTTTGTACGCAAAGTACTAGGAATAAAGAGCTTCTTAAGCTAACGAAGTCTAATTTTATCAGAGGTCTAGCTGTTAGGACTAACCTTGAAGCGCTAATCCTCTGGGAGGCCCTCGAACTATAATTTAAGAAAGACTTTGCCTTTAAAAATTATATACGGAGGAAGGGCCCAGCCAGAAGCATTCGTACACTCAATAACCGTCACTCTCGATTTCCGGGTTGTAAAAGTGAACGCCGACTATAGTATTCACTCCTTATAATAACCTTCGCAGTTGCTGTTAACCCTATCGCGAAACCGGTCTTATCAAAGTTATAAATATCATCGGGGTCGATTCTAAATTGAAGGATTGTTTTTTGAACTAGATTAAACCACTCCGTAATAATTTTTGGGTCTTCGTATTTCGCACGCTCGTAGTTATACTGTTTCGAGAATCGAGAGGAGAGGAGAGGACGCCGTTTCACAAAGTTATATACCTATTTTTCGCTGACCGAAAGAACCGGGGTAGTTCTACGCTTTTGAAGAAGAAGATCTGCCATTTCTCGTACTATAGAGGGCCGGGGGGCTGCTCCACGTAGATCTATAGAGAGAATCCATTTTTGAAGAGATTCCTCTTCAATTTCAGTCAATTTAGATAGATTTACGCGAGAATTCGCGCGATATTGTACGCTATTAAGGCGCGTAGAAAGGGTCGACCTTGGGATATTAAAACGGCGCGCCACTTCACGAATTGAAGAGATCTCTTTATTCTTAAAAGCCTGGATAGCTAATAAGATCCTACCCTCTTGCTCTGCTGAATTGCTAGAGGATCGAGAGCGAATTGGTGGCATGGTAGGTGGTTGAAGAAGAAGGGGTTAAATTAATTGACACGTTTTGGGTGGGGTGGCCAGCTCGTTTACATGGCCAGCTCGTTTACCGAATACGTTAATGTTCAAAATCTAATTTGTCATCATTTTTCTATGATAACATATTTTTTAAATATTTTTAAGCTAACATTAGGTATCAGATATAGTATGTATCTCTATTTGTAAAATATATCTCTCATCCTTATCAAATAATAATTAAGTATAAAGAGGGACCTAAAACTTTATCGATGTTTTATTATGGTGCCCTAAAGTAAAATTGTATAAATCAGATTAAAATGAATTCCCCGAGTTTTAACGTTGAAAGGTCGACGGAGAAAAGTCTAACAAAGAAATTTTGTATGCCTGATATATTAGTTTTTGAGTAGATTAAAATATACAAGTACTAAAAAAATAACCTATAATATAAACCTGTGGAGAGAAAAAAGCTGGAAATTGTGATTTTGTTAGTGACCCCAATGTATGATCGAGAACTCCAATTTTCGACCATTGCGTATATTGTGAAGGATAATGAGCAAGACATATTAAAACTACTAAGTAAAAAGCTACATAGCTGGTATATACAGAGCTGTATAGCTGTCCCCCGCCCAATCATTGAAAGGGGTGAAAATGTCCCCGTTTTTAACGGGGATAAATCCGTTATGGTTGAAACCGAACCCTCTGTGGTGACCGGCAGCATTTTGATATCCTTGGCCGAAGGAGAGGTCAACTGCAAGGGCTCTGCCTTTTGCGAAAGAATCGGTTCTAGCTGTGACGATGCTTATCGCAAGGGTATTCACAGCAACACCTACAGCACTTACCTCGAGTATGTGACGGGCTGCTAAATGGAGCTGCACCATGTTGATCGGATATGAGGTGTATACCGTATACATGTATTTAGGGCCACAGGGTCTCAGTGTTGGCTTTAGTTTCCAGAATTTAGTTGAGATGGTGTCCGATTGTTCCTTAAGGACGGGAACAAAGTAGCCTGTTAAAGCTTTCTCGAATGTACCAAGCTGTTCTAAAATTCTCATAGTAGACAATTAGCCGCTGGTTCACTTTTGAGACAAACCCCCCTATTTGGAGTAGGAAGAAGTTTCTAGGATTACCTTACCACGACAACCCCGGGAAACTTAGGCGCTCTTAGCTAGTGGCTGTAGTGGTTCTCAGCTCAGGAACTAGCTTGTGTTTAAGTTCTTATCTGGTTGGTTGGGACGGAGGGAGACGGCGATCCTGTGGGTCACCCGTTCAGGGATCATACCTGGTATCCTTACCTGTTTGGGCGAAGGCCCTCTGTCCCTAGTCCATCCCCATGTGCTTCGTACTCCCTAGGCTGATATAATCTATGATCCGCTGGCTCAGTCTTCTGCCTGGGGGATGTTCGGTGTTCTTCTGATCTTCCCCCAGGTATCCCACTTGTGATTCTCGCCATTTTCAGCATTCTCGCCATGCATCAATCATGGAACAGGTGGTGTTCCCTTCGGCGGATGATATTCGCAGTTGCTAGCACTTGCGGTGTTTTCACCTACTTGATATGGTTTGGGATGAACTCAGACCGTGATAATGTCCCCCGGCTCCTCACACAACTTATCCCAGCAGGCCACTGTACCTGCCAGTCATCTACTTCATTCCAATGTGCCGACTGCCTCACCTGTGTCGCCTCGCCCTCGTCATTGGAACCAAAACACCTTGCAACTTGGAGTTTCCAGTACGGACGAGACGACCAGAACCTAGGCCTGACCGAAAGTCAGTGCCAGGCAGCATTCCCTGGTCTCTTCCAGGACATCCAGCGAGGAGTCAAGTATTGGAAGTCGCAAGGGCGCATATCAAGAGACGATCTGAGCACAGTCCCATTTGAAGATGGCATGGCCCGCGCTATCATCTCCAACGGAGACTTGTACGTCGTGGCGACAAGAGCGAAAGGGGATGACCATCGACGGAAGATCCTTGGTACTCTAGGATCTATCCATCGGGCTCTATCGGCGTCCTCAAATCGTACCTTGCACCCCACGATCGAGTTTATCTTCTCGATCGAAGATCGTGTGGATGATGTTGACGCGGCCGGCCACCCGGTCTGGGTGTTATCGAGGAAAGCATCCGAGGAGTCAGTCATTCTGATGCCTGATTTTGGGTACTGGTCCTGGGACAAGAGTAACATCGGCCCATATGGACAAGTCGTGCAGAGCATCATGGCCGCTGAATCCAATCTGAAATTTGCAGATAAAGAACGGAAGCTTGTCTGGCGGGGTAAGCTGAGCTTTGCGCCAAAGCTGCGTCGGGCACTCTTGGACATTGCACGGGGTAAATCTTGGAGTTATGTGAAGGAGTTGGATTGGAGCAAGCAGGCCAACTTCTTGTCGATGGAGGATCACTGTCGGTACATGTTCATCGGACATGTCGAGGGTACGTTTCTTTCACGACCTAACTTTGCTGTACAAGGCTGACAGATATCGTCGATATCCAGGTCGCGCATACTCGGCATCCCTTAAATACCGACAAGCCTGTCGGTCTGTTGTCGTGGCGCATAAGCTGCAGTATATTCAACATCACCACTATCTCCTCGTATCGTCCGGCCCAGAACAGAACTACGTTGAAGTTGAGAGAGACTTCTCCGATCTCCCGAAACGTATGGATGAACTCTTGAAGAACCCGGCCAAGGCAGAGTATATAGCCAACAACAGTATCAAAACCTTCCGAGAACGATACCTAACCCCAGCTGCTGAGGCATGCTACTGGAGAGCTCTGTGGGAGGGATGGCTGAAGTCTCGGCGAATGTCACACGCGACATTGAACGGGCGCCGGTCGATAGGGGACTCCGGTATGAATCTTTTGTGTTGCTGGACAGTAACGATATGTTCAAGTATACATTTGGATCGGATTAAGAATGTTTTCTTTTGGTATATAATAATATAATGGTCGTTATGATTACTTTTACAGGCTACCACCAGGTATTCATCAGCAACATATTCCTTCCTCCCTTGTTGAATTGATTTTAAAGAGATGCAGCACCACGTGGCTCGGTCGTCTATAATGCGACGGATATAGTGGGGACCTGCAAGGGAGACAACCCGTCACACTTTATAAGTCACACAACATTAAATGTCTAAAAGTTTTCTATCATGACGAGGAGTGTATAGAATGCACATCTCGAAGGATGTCTCGCAGTTCTCTATGTGAGTAAATCACTCCACACAACCTCAGGAAGGCAATAAGATAGGCAAGAGCATGTGTCACATTAAATTGACTGTACTTGACCGTCAAAAATAGCTATAGCGCTCCGGGATCCGAATGATAAAAGACTCGAAACTTTTAGAACAAAGCTCTTTAGTATTCTTTGTTTAATACTACTCAGAATAATATCATCTTTGACCAAAAGACTTAAAAGGGTGTAAACTATGACTCTTTGTTTCCTCCTCTTCCTCTTGTCTATGATTAACAATGGGAACCTTCACTATATAAGCAGAACTAATAAGTATAAATACCTGGAGATATCCGTTGGATTCAATCATCTTACACACATTTCGACAACTATCACACTTCTTTCCAGAAACAAAGCAATCCTCCATCAGGTATATTTATATTCACAATATATCACTCATCTTATACGCCAACATGTCTTCAACAGGTAACAGGTTTCCCACTAACTCCTCTAGCCCAGCAACCCCCTCAAGCCGCTCCTACAAGGAGGCTAGCACCAGCCGGTGGCAACTACAATCCCTCTTCCAGTCATTCCTGGAGGACAGACCGGCCAATACCATGCTTGCCGTTCAAGAACGTCGCCTTCTCGTTTCCTGGGACCTCAAGGCCATCCATTACTTGAGAAGATGTCTGAGGACATGGATTCAGGACAAGGTCCCAGGCGACGCGATTGGTGCATTCCTCGTGACTATCTTGTACGAACAAGACTTTCACCTGGATTACCGGCTGACCATGATGGTTCAGGATAGACAGACCCAGCTGCACATCGCTCGTCGTCTGTTGGCATTCTACCAAATCCGAGACGAAGCAGGCACCCCGATCTGGGATAACGTAACCGTCTATGACGAAGACGCTCGCCCAAAACAACCAGCTATTCACCGCAAGAGCGTTGCCGGAAGCTTCGCCATTGCCAGGAAAGAGCTTCCACCTCGTATCCCTACACCACCACCTGCTGACCCACGATGGCCCCTCTTCATGGGTGCACTCAGCGACCCAGAGATTGAAGACCTCATGGACAAGCTAGGCGACGACGACCAGCATTCAGGGGAAGATCTGCCCCCATTGTTCACCGGTGTGCGTGAGGAAGATATTCCCATCATCCAGGCGTTCCGGAGATTCAATCTGCACAAGGATGATTCCTCCGAGGACCTTCCTCTGCCTGAGTCTAGGACCGATCGGATTGGTGATACATCGAAGCAGACTAACACATCACAGGATAAGCCCCTCCCTCCCCCCATCACGAGGAAGCCTCTCCCAGCCCTGCCCACTGACAAGCCTCTTCCCGCATTTAAGCCCCTTCTCCCCCTCCCACCTCTTTCACGTATCTCAAGCCCAAGTCCCTCATCTGTGCGTGTGTCGACTTTCAAATCAGGGAAGAAGCTTAAAGTCAGATGGGCAGACCGTATGCCAGATAGACATGCTGACATTCAACAGGGGGATATTAAGGATGATCTGCGTTCGTCCGCGCCAGCTCGCCCGGAGCTCTCTGCTAGCGGGAACCAACCGCAGCTTTCTCGTCCAGAGGACATTATTCATGCTCATATTCGCACTCCTTCGCATTATACCGCTCCCCCACCTCCGCCTCAGCTTAGAAAAAAACCTGCGGTTGAAGACTTGCGCAAGGCTGGAGAGGGTAGTGGTTGAATTTCTGGATAGGTTGAGTCGATAGATTAGGAGTTATGCTAGAAATATGTCTTTGGTTTTTTTTGTCTAAGAAAATCAATTTGCAATACTAACGCTGGACATCTTTTTGAACATATTCTTGTCTCATGAATCGGATTCTTTGAATGTACAACGCTTGAAAGAACAATCTAAAGAAAGATAAATATAATAAAACAATAATCTATTTGTTCAGACAGGAGAGTAGAAAGTAGTATCTTGATCTTGAAATACAGGTCCCAGAAAGTCACAATGTGATATAGTGCCATGCGTAAATAGTACAGGGGGAGTTGTTGGTGATGGAAGAAGCAGCAGGGATTGAAAGCAAAATATGCTGCTTCTTAGCTCCAGCAAGAGCCAATGCCAGGCACTGCCTGGCTTAGATTGCCAGAGTAGTCGGAGGGAGAGGGGGTTATTACATATTTTATCGTTTATTTCTTGTGTCTGTCGGCCTGGGCCTTCAGGTACTTGGCAATGAGTTCCTTCCTGTAAGAGAAGATGGTTAGTAACGGGTAATGTATTTAAGGAAGTAATTCTGGTTGAAACATACTGCATGTGAGGAGGAGCCTTCTCGTAGTGGCTGAATTCCATAGTGTATTCACCCTTGCCCTGAGTAGCGGCACGCAGGTTACTGCTGAAGCCGAACATGCCGTTCAGACTGCAGTCAGCGTAGACAGTGAACTCGTCAACACCGGTCTCGGTGTCGTTGATGGTAGCACCGCGCTTGTTCAGCAGACCGATGACATCACCCTGGAACTCAGTGGGAGCGGTGACAACCGTCTTCATAAGAGGCTCAAGAACAGAAGGCTGACTTTCGGCGAAAGCCTTGCGGAACGCCTGCTGGGTGGCGTTCTTGAAGGACATTTCGGAAGAATCAGTCATGTGGGTGGCACCATCGTTGATGACCATGCGAGTACCGAGAACCTTGTGGCCGATCAGAGGACCCTTGTCACAAGAGAGGTTGAAACCCTTCTCGCAAGCGTACAGGAACTTCTCCGAAATGCTGCCTCCAATAACCTGCTGCTCGAACTTGTTCTCCTCGAGGACACCAGTGGGCTCCATGAATCCCATAACACGGGCGAATTCACCAGGTCCACCGGACTGCTTCTTGAGCAGGTGATCGAACTCAACACGGTTGCCGATGGTCTCACGGTAGGCGACCTGGGGCTGGCCAGTCTCGCAATCGACACGGTACTCACGACGCATACGCTCCACGTAGATGTCAAGGTGGAGTTCACCCATTCCGGAAATAATGGTCTGGTCGCTCTCGCTATCGTAGCTCACGCGGAAGGTCGGGTCCTCTCTCTGGAAGCGGGCCATGGCCTTGGAGAAGTTGGCACCATCCTTGCTCTGCTTGGGCTTGATAGAGAGCGAAATGACGGGCTCGGGGACGAACATGGAGGACATGCTGTAGCCGAGAGTTCCATCGGTGAAGGTGTCACCGGATGCACACTCAATACCGAACACGGCACAGATCTCACCAGCGCCAATCTCACTGACTTCCTCCATGTCGTTGGAGTGCATACGGACAATACGGGGAACCTTGACCTTCTTGCTGTTGCGAGCGTTGAAGACGTTAGCACCCTTGCGGAGAGTACCCTGGTAGACACGGATGTAGGTCAATTGACCGAAGTTGCTCTCTTCCAACTTGAAGGCCAGACCAACAAAAGGAAGGGAGTTATAGGGGACAAGCTTGACAGAAGCCTCGTCGCGCTTCTGGTCAAGGGCGAGGTTCTCAACCTCAGCAGGGTTGGGGAGGAAGTCAATAACACCGTCCAGCATGGGCTGAACTGACTTGTTGGCCAAAGCAGATCCCATGAAGACAGGGGTGAACTTCAAGCCAATAGTAGCACGGCGGATGGCCGCTCGGATCTGATCCTCGCTGGGGATGATCTCGTCCAAGAACATCTCCGCGATCTCATCGTCGACATCGGCAAGAGTCTCAATGAGCATGGTACGGCGCTCCTCGGCAATGGCCTTGACCTTCTCGGGGATTTCATCCTTCTCCACGATCTCCTCACCACTCTCGCCAACGTTGTATAGAGCCTTCATGCGGATCAGATCAACAACACCCTCGAACTCGTCCTCGGCACCGATAGGGACCTGAACAGCAGCCGCAGGGATCTTAAGCTTGGTGTTGATCTGGTCAACCGCCTTAAAGGGGTTAGCACCCATACGATCCATCTTGTTCACGAACGAGATACGAGGGACGTTGTAGCGGCGCATTTGGCGATCGACGGTAATAGTTTGGGACTGGACACCGGAGACAGCACACAGAATCATGACAGCGCCGTCCAGAACGCGCAGCGCTCTCTCGACCTCAATAGTGAAATCAATGTGACCGGGGGTATCAATCAAGTTGAGGTGGTACTTCTGCTCAACGCCCTCCTTGTCCTTCTTAACCCAGTCACAGAAAGTGGCTGCGGACTGGATGGTAATACCCTTCTCACGTTCCAAGTCCATGGAGTCCATCTTGGCACCGACGCTGTCACGCCCGCGGACCTCGTGGATGGCCTTGATACGACCAGTGTAGAAAAGAACTCGCTCGGTACAGGTGGTTTTACCGCTGTCGATGTGGGCCTGTGCAGGGAGACTTCATTAGACAAGAACAAGCATATAGAACAATTAGGATATTATATACCGCAATACCGATGTTACGGCACATGCTAAGGCGAGCGGCCTCGACCGGATCCAGACTGTCGATAATGGCGGCTTGAGATAGAGACTCCGGGTCGGCCTTAGCAGCCTCCAGACTAGTAACAGCATTAAAAAGAGTAAAAGAAAAAGATCAGCCAGACCAGTATACTTACACTGCAGAAGCAACAGCAGAGGCATTTCGGCGCTGGTCCCATTGTCCCAGCTTCGACTGATAAGCCGGCGCAACAGCGGCGGACCGGAACGCGGCTGTAGAAGCGCATCGTTGGCGCAGAAGAGTCTGGGGTTGGAAACGAGCTGATCTGGTCAAACCAGACACCGCGCGGGATTGTAACCGTGCAAGAGAAGGAGACCGCATCGTGATGATCCAACCACACCAAAATTGATATGATCAACGCGAATTGAATGTTTAGTTGGCTCCCCGAAAAAAAAGTTCGGGGAAGCCAGGAACGCATCACGTGATTGTTTACATCGGCCCATCAGAGCCGGGAGATTACAATTCGATGGATGTATACCAATAAAATGAGATATCAACTTTGAGACCGATGAAAGTTGGTTGTTTGAAGGCTTGGGTATGATGACAAGCCGTTGATTGGAGTAAAATGCACATATATCTATAGATATTGGCCGCCCAAGAAAAGCAAGATTGGAGATCATGATATGAGTTGAATTGAAACATGAAGACCCAATAAACTTGATTGCCACACTAATATACAAGAAAAATACACAAGCGCCGTGGTATCCAACCACTGTCTGGTTTTGAAACAAGAATGCAAAAGTGTGCCACCGATCCGAGTTCCGCAACGACAAGCCGTATATCCAAGGGATTTGGAAACGACCTGGTTATCGAGGGCATTTTGTATGCCCGGAAATATTGCTAATGTCTCAGATTGTCCGAGTAAAGGCTGCCGCGGAAGGACAAAGCGATGCACGCTATCGGCGGAAATGACGGAAAGCGACGACTCTATTTCCCCTGCCGTTGCTTGTGCTTGGGGTTCTTCGAGCTAAAATAACAAGAAAAGAACATATTAAAATCGAACAACTTCAAGTATAGCGTTCAATGGCACAGGGTAATCACAACTCACCAGATGATGTAGACGCGACCTTTACGGTGAACGGGCTGTCCAGCAGTCAGCACCAGTCAAAGCATAATTCCGAACTCCTGCAACGTCCTCAACGTCTAAAATCATACCTTGCAGCCATCACACAGTCTCTTAACAGAAGACCGAGTCTTCATTCCCCGAACCTGCTCCACCTGTCTAGCAGACCCATTCGCCACGGCAACAGCATTGCCAGACTTTACTTGTCCACGGAGCCTCGTCAGGCTGTTGCGAATCATGTGCGAGAAAGGCCGTACTGAGGCGGTCCGGGTGGTCACAGAGGGGAGGAATTGGCGGAGGGCCCCGGAGGAGGCACCGAAGACGGAGCGGAGGGAGAACATGGCGGCGGGTTTCGATTTTGGTCTATCTCCACGGAAGGTGATCAATTGGAGGCTGCGCCTCGAGTATCACCTTATGAAGAACAAGAGGTATCGGGGTGCGGTGAGAGGTTGATGTTTGGCTCCAAAGGTTCTCTCGTGCTGCGATCGCAAATGTTGGCCGGAGCTTCTGTATCGCCGGTCGGCCGAGGGGATTGGCCACTGTGATTGGTCGGGTTTGCACTATAAATATAAGGACTGCAACGAACACAGAAGGACATTGCAAAAGTGTGAAATTACTAACGAATGGAGAGAACGGTTGGGGTTCTTTAATAGAGCTACTCAGGGATGCTAGCCGGAATATATCTACAGCGCTGAAATGGAGAGCTGATCTACAAGACAGTAGTGATGTGCATCAATGCCGAATTTGAGGATATTTGTACCTATGTAAGTATGTAGTAAAAAACCCTAAAAGTGGACTATATGACCTATGATACAGAGGGCCTATCGAAAGGAAACAAACGCCGAAAGAGACAAACAGGCCTGGACCCTAAACCGCTTAAACCATAACAAGCTATGAACAATGCATCTTCTCCTTACCCACCTTTTCTTCTATTGCGATTATAAAATAAAATCCTTATTCGGAACGCAAGAAGGTTTTGTAAGTGGGAGAGTCAGTGTGCTCGCTGAACGGATAGCCCAGATCCCGAAGGAATGCCTCCAAGTCCTCCTTCTCGGGCGAGGGGCACTGGATTCCAGCCAGAACCTTGCCTACATCACCACCATAGTTGCGGTAGTGGAACAGAGAGATATTCTGTTCAGGACGGAGAGTGGTGAGGAACTTGGCGAGAGCACCTGGGCGCTCGGGGAACTCGAACATGAAGATGCGCTCATCGGCGACCTCGCAGCGGCCACCGACAAGGAAGCGCACATGACGCTTGGCAAGTTCATCATCACTCAAGTCTCGGCAGCTCATGCCACCCTTCTCCAGCTCTCCCATGATCTTGGCTAGGTCTTCGCGGCCAGTAGAGGCAGATAGCGAGATACCCATCAGCACATCAGCCGAGTCTTCGCGGGCGTAGCGGTAGTTGAACGCAGTAACGGCGTGGGGCAGGACAACCTCAACAAGCTTGGCGAATGCGCCAGGCTTCTCAGGAATCTTCACGCTAAGGAGTGCCTCCTTCTTCTCACCAAGAGCAGCGCGCTCAGCAACAAATCGCAGACGGTCGAAGTCCATGTTGGCACCGGAAGCAATGGCAATGAGTTCGCGGTTGGGGTCAGGGCTGGGGTTCTTGGCGATGTACTTTTTGAGACCGGCAAGAGCGAGAGCGCCGGCGGGCTCGACGATGGACCGGGTATCCTCGAAGGCGTCCTTGATGGCCGCGCATGTCTCGTCGGTGGAGACCTGGATGACTTCGTCGATGACTTCGCGGCTAAGACGCCAAGTTTCCTCGCCAACAGACTTGACTGCTGCACCGTCCGCAAAGAGGCCAACCTCCTTGAGGAAGACTCGGTCACCCGTATCGAGGGACTGAGCCATAGCGTTGGCATCGTAAGCCTCGACACCGATGACCTTCACCTGGGGTGCGATGCGCTTGAGGTAAACTCCAATGCCGGCAATCAGACCACCTCCACCAACAGCACAAAAGACTGCCTCGAGCTTGTCCAAGTTTGCCTGGCGCAGAAGCTCCATGCCGATGGTACCTTGGCCAGCAATGACATAAGGGTCATCGAAAGGTGGGATGTTTGTCAGACTGTGCAGCTTCTCCAATCGGTGAGCCTCGTCCTTGGCAGCATCAAAGTCCATTCCGTGAAGCACCACGCTTCCTCCCAAGCGAGCAACATTCAGGTGTTTAATGGCGGGGGTGCCGGATGGCATGACGATGGTAGCGGGGATTCTCAGCTTGCGGGCAGAAAAGGCCACACCTTGAGCGTGGTTTCCTATATTGAGTGAGTAAAAAGCACTTCCGGTTTCTCTTATCTACCGGGTATTGACTCACCAGCAGAGCAAGCAATAACGCCTTTCCAGCGCTGCTCATTGTTCAAATGAGCCATCTTGTTGTATGCGCCACGGAGCTTGAAGCTGAACACCGGAAGCAGATCCTCACGCTTGAGAAGCACCCGGCTTTTCAGCCGAGCACTGAGGTTGACAGCATGGGTAAGAGGGCTTTCTTCAATCACATCGTAAACTCGTGACGTCAAAATCAATCGGAGATACTAGAATTGCGGGGCAATGTTAGGTTTGGAAGATTCAGTGGGAATTTCAGAGCTTGAATTACATCTGGGTAGCCGTTAGGAAGCAGAAAAGCTTCAGGGATGCCCCAATTAGGAGGCAAGCCGGGGGTCCTTTGCTCCCGTTCAGAGGGCGGCGTCGGAGCGGCGGTATACTCAGTCAACGCAAGCCCACTCATCTTGGGAGTGACGGGCGTCGCAACGCCGCTGGTGGTCTCGTCAGACATGATAAGTTCGGGTTGATTTCTACCAAATGATGGAGACAATCAATCCCAATGCCAATTAGAGAGAATCTGACAAGTCGGCAAATTCTAAAGTCTGACTCTTTTTTCTTGCAGAGGCGGGACCGGTGATCGGAGAACCTTATGTCATCAACCGTGAGTGCTAGCCCTAAATAAAGCTCGATTTAGGAGGGTTGAGGGGATGAAATAAAGTATATGAGATCAAATGGAATGGAGATTTTTCAGACAAATCCGAATTTTTGTATCTATTAGACTGAATAGAAGAAGTGAACGTTGTGTGTTGGGTACCAGACGTGGAGGTATAGGTACAGGTAGGGTGTAGTAACTAGATAGCGGTCAACAATGAGGGGCTAATAATAGGAGAAATAATTTATTTGTGTCTTTAATTGATTTGATTGTAAGCCAATGATATAATAAGAGATGAACCGAAGCATTTAAGCAAAATAGAAAGCCCAATGTCTTTGTAGCCTTGTAAAGGCAGTAGTTAGTAGATGATGTAGTCTCAATGGCAGGGCGGGTTTACATAACCCGATATGTTTGAAAACTTGGCGTCATACCACAGCTCGACCCTGTGTGCCCTAGCATCTTGAACAGTCTATTACGACACCCAAACTGGCAATTCCTCGCACGATTTGATCTTTGCCACTAAAGACCCCATTTATAAGCGTCGACCGATCCCCGACTCGAAAACTCCGCATCCCGTGGACGCAACTAGTCTCCGCACGACCACAACGTACCCGATCACAATCAACTTCACAATGAACCGGGATCCCGTGCCTTCGTCTTTTGACGAGGGAAACCCGTATGTATCACACTATGTCCGCGCATTCCGCAAGTGCCATCCGGCAATGCAGCAGAGAAAGCAAAGGGAAGGCTCATCTGCTAACGCTCGGCCTCCGATAGTCAATTTACAGAAGAGACCGGTACTCAAAAATTCACACGACGTCTTAAGGAAGAACCTCTGGTTCCACTCGGTACGAAATTTTTCTAGCTCAAGCCCTCGCGTTATCCTACGGGATTTCCTTCCCAGCATACAAAAACTAATACATACTACCGCAGGATGCGCCGCAACATGCTATGCCCTCTACCGCGCCTATCGGTCAATGAAGTCCGGCGACTCAGTTGAAATGAACCGAATGTTCCGAGCCCGTATCTACGCACAAGCCTTCACACTAGTTGCCCTAGTCGCCGGCGGGATGTACTTCAAGACGGAGCGACAGCAGCGCCGGGAATTTGACCAGGCTGTGGAAGTTCGGAAGAAGCAAGAAAAGCGTGACGCGTGGTTGCGCGAGTTGGAGATCCGTGATAAGGAGGACCGCGAGTGGAGGGAGCGTCATGCTGCTATCGAGGCTGCGGCTAAGGAGGTCGGGAAGAAACCGGCGCCGCGGAATGAGCCTGAGGCGGCGCGGTCATCGATTGAGCCTGCCGATGAGAAGTCTATTGGGATTATGGATGCTGTGAGGGCTCTTATTTCACGGGACTAATGGAATGCGCTCTGTAAGATAGGAGATGTTCATTTTTTCTTTACTGTACATATACATCAATTTCTCCAATCATATGTCGATTTTCAACTGATGAATTATGCTGTTCTAGAATGTGTAAGCATGAGTAACAGAAGTACGATTAGCTCATCTGCTTGTCGTATCTGATCGTATTGTATACGGGGATTCCGACGATCGTCATGCCGAGGTCGTCATGTCCCAATTGATCCGCGCCAAACAAGCACGGCACTAGCACAACAAGGTAAACCACCTTCTTGGCAGAAGCCAGGAAATATTTCCGAAAAAGCAGCACGTTGATTTTGGGTCAGCATGGCCGAAGTTATTTGCTTGGCCGAGGCTTTCATGTGAGATCGACAAGGCTAGTGCCGTGCGGCAAGCTAACATATGATGGTCAGGGCATATTCGGAACGGGAGTGGCTGTCAAGTGCACTGGGTGTGGTTTTGAAATGATGTTGTTGAATTCTTAAGAGTACAGGAGTGTATAAGATGAATGCACCTTTCATCTTTGGAGACTGATATAGTCAGGCATATGAAGGAAGGAGATAATCCAAAGGCGGGGAAATTGAGCTACTCGACACCAAGCCCTAATTTGGAAATCCCCAGGGTCTATCAGAATGATCCTGCGTCAAACTTTTCAGTCCCTGCTCCGAGACTCCACCCCTCACCCAGCCTAACTCTTGCTAATCTTCCCTAATGCACATTGTTTTCCGAGTCGCAATACCATGACGTGTGAAGAACAAGCTAGGCGCCTTATGGACCGTCTCTCACGAGAGTATAAAGGCCTGTGATATTCCTCTATGACTGTAGATCTCGTTTTCCAATCTTTTCCTCCATACCCCTGTCAAAAAGCCACTATACCAACCTTTATACGTGATACTCAAAAACGCCTATTTCCACATAAATAATGCTTTCCTGGATCTACCCATTGCGAATCATACAGGCAATCCTGTCACTGGCCACGATTGGTCTTACTGCATATGGTTTGTTTTACTGTAGAAGGCATTTATCAGAACAATGCTGACTCCGTCTAGAAATCGCCTCTCTGTATGACGAATGGTCTTACTCAAATGTCGTCTACTACATGCTCTTCAACGGCTGCTGGACAACAGCCATCGCAATCCCCTACTTGGGCCTCGCACCCCTACGTTTCCCTCGCTTCTCACATGAGATCGCTATTCCTCTCATCGAGCTGCTCACCGGCGGTCTCTGGCTCAGCGGCTGGATCGCCTTGGCTGCCATGATCCCCTCGCCTGGCGCATGTCACTACGTCAGCTGCCACGCACTCCAGGCTTTGATTGTCGTCGGTGCTATCCAATGGTAGGAACAGACGCCTAAATACTAACACATGCATGCATTATCTAACCTATTGTTCTGAACAGGGCTACTTTCGTTATCACAAACACCTTCGCCATCCTAGATCTGAAGAACTCTCGCCAAAACGCGAAGAACCACCGCAACGATGCTTCCCCTGAGATGACTGGTGCTGATGCCAATCCCAATACGACCGCTGCCACTACCACCGATGCTGCTGTTTAGATGGGTGCCTCCATACCCTGATGATATGTTATATACCAATGATGCTTGCACAACTTGCAAGCTATGATACGCACACGGTTCAGTTTCCTAAATGAAAGCGATACCCCACTTGGTTGATTTGATGAACACATGTCGCTCCTGTTTATATGCCAGGATTTCTTGATAATGCCAGAAATGGCTTGGTCGTGTATCGACCTAATGTTAATATGATAATCTGTTCTTACTCTCTTTTTCTGTTTTCATCCCGACGGTGCGACTCAATATATAGCACTCTCAAAAGCAATAATACCAAATGGACTGAAATCTTTGATCACTCCAGTATTAAAATGTCTAATCAATAAAACGCTTCAACGAAAATAAAACAAACCGAGTTACCCGAGAGGTATGTGGATTGCCGCTCAGCCGATGTCCATTCCATCCACCTGGCGTATGGGTTTCATCGGTCCGCTCTGACTGGATTGGTCTATTTCGGCGTGGAATGCCAGTACCTCGCTGTACCTAGTAGAAATAGTCAGCAGAATGTCCGGAGGTTGATCGACATTTGCTGGATTCAGGACTGACATGATGGTCTTCCAGATATCGGCTGGAAGGTTTGCTTCGAGGAAAGTCCAGTCGAATTTTTCCGCTGCGACTGGTTCGTCGTTCGGATCATGGTATGGTGCGAGATATGGGGATTCAAGAGCTTCTGTTGCAGAAATTCGTACTTTGGGGTCGAATTCAAGCATTTTGTCGATCAATGCCGCCGCTGTTTTGGTTAATGTTTTGATATTTTTCAAGGAATAGCTTGGAACGTACCATCTGCGTTGGCCTTGGGGATGAGCTGTGATATTGGCTTGCGGTCTCGCCTTGGGAGTGAATTGATAAAGTTTAATGTCTGCAGGAACAATACTTTAATCAGCAAACGTCCTTCAATAGATTTGATATGATTTCAAGGGAGTATGATCCGACTCACATTTTCACTTGTGATATTGTTGACTACTTCCTCAGGGGGGTTCCCAAGTAGATCGGTGATAACACAAAACTGGTTGATATGATTTGTTCCGGGGAACAAAGGCTCGCCCAGAAGTAATTCAGCAAAGATGCACCCGGCACTCCATATATCGACTTTCTCGTCGTATTTTCGCCATGTGAGCATGATCTCCGGGGCTCGGTAGTACCTCGTCGACACATAGCCGGTCATATGTGGTTCTTGGATGCGGGCGAGACCAAAGTCGCATATTTTCAGGTCGCAGTTCTCATTGACCAGAATGTTGCTTGGCTTTAGATCTCGGTGGATCACCCCGGCTGAGTGGAGATATTTTAGGCCACGCTGGAGTTGTTGATGGTCAGAATATGGTAACTGTTATTGGGAGTTATAGATGGCACCAACCATAATTTGATACATGAAGTATTGGGCGAATTGATCGTCAACTGTTTTTGCCTTCAAAATTGCATTTAGATCCGTTGCCATAAGCTCGGTCACGAGGTATCTAGACTTGTTAGTACTTTCCATGTACAGAGAGTGGAGTCTCCGTACATGTCTTCCGAGGGAGAAATGAATATGTCGGTCAGGTTGATGATCTGGCGGACGATTAGACAGTTGTGTTATACTAGCTTTCTGAATCCTCACGTTTTCATGGCGCAACTGTCTCAGTAATTTCATTTCTCGAAACATGTGTCTTGCAATAGCCGGTGTCTTGAAAGGTTCCGCAAGTTTCTTCACGGCAACAGTGCGATGAGAAAGTTGATCCCTTGCAGAGCTATGAGGGAAGTAAATGTTAGTTTTGACTGATCATGAGTCTGCTCCAAGGTAGGAGAATAATACCAGACAAGCCCAGATACTCCAAGCCCAAGAGGCTTCCATTCTGTATAACTGGTTTCATATAGTCTTAGCATACAATATATAGTGTAGTACTGGTTTTAGTTTTTCTAACCGTTCGGTTGTCTCAAATATTGTACCCATTATTGATTTCTGGGAGAAGGCTGCCATTTGCTCCCCGTAGGGTGGTGTAAGTAAGTGCGTGGGCATCATCGGAGATAATATGGAAGTAAATAATGAGTTGCTATAATACAAGGATCAGTTTGATGGACATATAACAAAGTCATAATATGAATTATATGAATAGCAAGATGCAAAAAAAAAAGAATCAATAGAAAATCTTATATACACCAACAGTTCGATGCCGTCAGAGCCCTCGGGTAGTGACATCAGCGGCTTTGTGGATCTCCCCACATCTCCAGCACAGCATGTCCAGCATGTCCAGCACACAGAAGAATCTTCCACATTCCATTTCCTTTTGTGGATCCTCATGCGTGTCTACCCCGTGCGATCCGAATTATCTGTCGAATGATGGTGGCTCGATCCAGATTCAAGGGTTTCATGTCTTGTGAGGCTTCTGCACGAACTGTCACAATGTGGCATACGCCTCAGCGTCATGAAAGTGTCCGTTCCGAGGATCCAATTTTTTTCGGAATGTGATACGCAAATAGTATCCATGTCATAGGCAGATTCGTTGATTCGTTGATTCGTCTGAAAATTTTCCAATATATGTTTTGGTAAAGGCTCCTCCGAGCTCCAGCGCTCGTGGTCCTGAGATTAATATACAACATTGAAGTTAACGCCCATCGCTAAACAGAACAACCTTCCAAAAAATGAAAAGTGAGTCCTTAGGTATACCCATTGTCGGCATTGATAAAGTTTTCAAACAACGAATCGGTAAATCCGTTACCATTCGGCTCGTAAGGGGTGAAATCGTTTGCGATTGCAGGCAAAACCGTCCAATCGTTGTTGTAAGCGCCCGGTCCGATGGGGTTGGCATTTGCATCATCTGCGACCGACTCATCGGACCACGTCCCCGTCGAAAATGTGGGCGATGATCGCGTGGGCAGGCTGGAATTGGGGTCCTGATTGGGAGGACCTTGCAGGACGGTCTGGGTCATCCTGGCGAGTTGGTGGTTGATTTGGTGGTCTTGGCACTCGGCGTGTTGGAAGATGAGGTTTTTCAAATCCCAGACTTCTTCTCGTAAACAGTTCAATTGTGCTAAGAGTATGTCTTTCTTTTCGGTTTCGTCTGTAAGGCGACGCTCGATTTGCTTGTGTTCTCGCTTCTTTCTTTCGCGGCATTTGTTGGCGGCGACGCGGTTTCGTTCGAGGTGCTTTGCCCGCCCGGGGCTGACGGGTTGAGAGGGTGAGGTGGGTGATACGGATTTCATAGTTTTTTTTTTTTTAGTCCCGCTACCAATTGTGAAGGATAGGGAAGTAATATAGAGTAATTTGGAATAGAAATAGAACGAAGGCTTTTTTTTGGGGGTTTTCTGTCGTCAATGAGTAGAGGAATTTCAAAGCTCTATAATGTAGAGATCCGACTTGGTAGTTATACGAAACAACGCTTCAGTAGTGCGGACTCTCCCACAGATATATGGAAAAGGTCTGGACCAAAATCAATGACGTACTATTTCAAGGATCTGGACAGGATCTGGACCAAAAAGCAAAGCAAGCTTCGAAACAGTTGCAACCTGGCCGTTTCCGGTTCCGCCATCCAATCGTTTATGGATGCCTCAGGTCCACATGTAATTTATGAGACACTAGTTATCTTGGAAGTTGAAATACACTTAGAAGTGTGTGGGGAAGAGGTGGCAAAATATCGTATAAATTCATCCATGTTGTAGATGTTAATCAAGATGGAACTAAGATTAAGGATGAGTTCTGACATCATATATCTGCATAAGATCAACATTGCCTATGTGGTCTAGATCATCTAGCTATGAATAATAATGGTTACAGCTTAGTAGGGAAACACAATGCCTGTATGCGATTGAAGACAGTTCAAGTCTTGTACTTCATAAAGCCCCACAGCATTTACCAATATGTTGCTCGAATACGAGCGCTTCCAGAGATAGACTTCTTTATTGCAGAGTATATCTTGATGCGGAGAGACTAGGATCCCCTCAGTCCACCACTTTACTCAAGAAACTTGGCAGCCCTCCCGGCCTAATGGAACGAACCTCAAACAGGGAAGTTCCCTCTGCCGAGAAATGCCTTACCAATCTGGCAATCTGAGCGATATGCACCAGCAAGATCATACCCTCCACCCAATCAGAATACATAGTCCTTAGTTGTGTTCGTAGTGAGATTTCTAATTAGATTTGTAGTAAATACCCGCCAATAGGAAGACACATTTAATGCTCCGATTAGAGTAGTATAACCAATAGTATGGTGATCGACCCTCCACTCTAATATTAACGAGTATTCAACAGCATGCAATCTTAGCTCGCTCAGCATTGAATGAAGTATCTCTCGAAACAAGAATTGATTTAATACACAAAAATATATATATACATAGATGAAATGCCTACATGCCTATCGACACAGGTCAACCAGCGATCTGTTCATCGATATAGCGTCTCATCGTCTCGAATTCTGATTTGCCTGTCTTTAAGCTCATTAGCAATCCAAATTATTATAACATGACCAAAAACTTCATACCGAGAGCAAGTATCTTATGTGTTGCTGTAGAGAAAAAGTCAGTCAAGTTGTTCTCCTTCCTATAGAACCGAGAACATCAACCTACCACATCCGATACATTTCGATGGCGCTCAAACTCATCGCGTGCATACCTGTGCAGCTCTGTCCGTGTTGAGGAGGGCGGGACCTCTGAGCATTTCTGTTAGTCTCATACACGGCCCGGCGATTAGTATGGTGAGCGTACTTATTAATGCTCGCACGATTTCCCGCCATAATGACAACACTCGCTGTCTTTGGATAAACTGTGTGGTTCAATTAGTACATATACTTCGAATCAAGATTGATAAGTTACTTACATGGTCTAGACTGATGGAAGGCTTCTTCAGCTTAGAGGGCTGGGTGCGCGAGATCGCAGCGAGGAAACGGTGTGAGGGACGCATTAGAGCAGATCAGACCATAGCCTTATGTATGAATTAAAAAATGGCACGGGACATAAAGTTTTTCTTTATGATGATCGAGATGTCGATTAGTCTGTTGTAGGAGAAGGGATACAGAGGGCGGTGAGGCAGTGGATATTTCTGCCGCCAGCGTTGTGTGCACGGTCAGGTGATCGATATGCGACGGACAGGAAAAGACAGAAAAAAATAGAAGAGTGTTTGGCTTCTTATGAAAATTACGGCGATATTGAAGGGTATATACGACCTAGTCTACATAATTTAAGTAGTGCATTATATTCAACGGTAGGCATGGAGGGCATAGAAGAGGAAAATGTTTCTATAAATGCGTGATGGATTTTCGTCTAAAAAGAGATAATATATAGTTATAGTTTGCGATCAGATCATTCGTTTTCAATTTTTACTCCTGCAGAGCGTTGGTCATGCCACCAAAAGTTATACTCTTGATGGTCATGAACTCGTCAATACCATACTTGCTGCCCTCACGGCCGAAGCCACTCTGCTTGACACCACCGAATCTATAGAAAGGTTAGAGTTTGATATACGAATGTGGGGAGATGAAAGCTTACGGAGAGGCAACATCACTAATCAAACCAGTGTTGACACCAACCATGCCGACCTCCAGGGCCTCAGCAACACGGAAGATGCGGTGGACGTTACCACTGAAGAAGTAACCAGCCAGACCGACCTCAGCATGGTTAGCCAGGTCAACAACCTCCTTCTCTGTCTTGAAGGGGAAAAGACCAGCCACGGGACCGAAGGTCTCCTCGGAAGCGAGAAGCATATCCTTGGTCATGCCAGTAAGAACAGTGGGGTGGTAGAAGTTAGGTCCGAGCGCGGTAGCCTTCTGCCCACCAACGACAATCTTAGCGCCCCTTGAAGTAGCATCTTGCACGTGCTCGTGGGCCTTGTTGGCGGCGCGCTCGTGGATGACAGGTCCGTGGGTGATGCCGTCCTCGAAACCACCACCGAGCTTGAATTCCTTGACCTTCTCGACAAAGCGCTTGGCAAACTCCTCATACACGCCTTCCTGAATGTAGATGCGGTTGGCGCACACGCAGGTCTGGCCAGAGCTGCGGAACTTGGAGTTAATGGCACCCATCACGGCAGCGTCGATGTCCTCGACGTCATCGAAAACGATGAATGGCGCATTACCGCCGAGCTCCCAGGAGACCTTCTTGATTGTCGTGGCAGACTGTTTTCCAAGTATGCGACCGACGTTGGTTGAGCCGGTGAAAGACACCTTGCGCACCTCGGGGTGGGTGGTAATGAGCTCACCCACAGCAGGAGTGTTCTTCGAGGAGGTCACAAAGTTGACAACACCCTTGGGAATTCCAGCCCGGTGCGCAAGCTCAGCGATTGCGTTTGCTGTGAAGGGCGTCTCCTGGGGAGACTTAGCCACGACTGTGCAGCCTGCCGCCAGGGCAGGACCGATCTTCCGGGTAATCATTGCCGCGGGGAAGTTCCATGGCGTAATCAAACCGCACACACCGACAGGCTGCTTAACAGTAATAACCCGGTTTCCGGGGACGGAGGCTGGAATTGTGTCGCCGTATGTGCGGGGTGCCTCCTCACTGAACCACTCGAAGAAGCTGGCGGCATAGTTGACCTCGCCCTTCGCGTCAGCGAGGGGCTTTCCGTTCTCCCATGTAATCAATTTGGCTAGATCGTCCGCGTTCTCCACCATTAAATCGTACCACCGGCGCAGCATGCGTGCGCGCTCGCGGCCGAGTGTTGTGCGGAATTTGGGGAAGGCTTCGGAGGCGGCTTGGATCGCCTTCTCAACATCGGATGTATCGAGCTCGGGACATGTTCCGATCAATTTACCAGTAGCCGGGTCTGAATGAGACAAAAAGTTAGCGATGCCTCTGAACTCGAATGTTCAATTTGGTACTTACCGTGGACTTCGAAAGTCTCGCCGGACTTCGCGTCGACCCACTCGCCATTAATGTACGCCTTCTCAATGAATAGCGATTGATCTTTCAACTGCAATGAATTAGTATAAGCAAAAAAGGTTCAGACTCCCCTGCGGATCTTACCTGCGGCGCGCTGTGTTTCATGCTGTATAGTCTCTGTGCGCGAGCTGTCGGGGGAATCGAAAAGGGATATCTCGGTCGGGGTCTCAATAATTGGCGGGCGACAGGGCGGATAATGCGGTCCATTATAAACCAAGGCGAGGAGGAGCCCTGGGGAGAGGAATAAGGGGAAGATGGAGAAAGTTTTTATCAAGAGTGCGGGGAGTAGGGGGAGTTGGAGATGCCTTTAAAGAGAGCAGTTCACACAGTTCTAGTGGGGTATCGGTGACTCGAAATGGGGGCTCAATGGTGATTGCTCTCTGTGTCCGAGATGCACCGAATATGTGTGTAATGGGAATGCTAAGGATGAGATTCTGGTAATCTTCGAGCTGAGAAGGGAAGCTCCATGCTTAAAGCGGGGATCTGCGGAGTTGATGTCATCCCTACTTAACCCCCAGGGCTATACTTGTTGTGATTTTTGTCTTGATTTTTGTCTCTGTTCTTTTTGATTGTGTCTTAGTACATTCCCAATTATCTTTTTCAAGTTCTATCAAGGAAAAACCAACTGGAATAGAGAAATCTCTTTCTACGGAAAATGCTTCATTTTATAGATCTGGTAATTTAAGTAATTATAAAAATAATATTACAATCTTCGGCTATTCAGGCCAATAGGAGTCACATTCGGAAAAGAGCGCGGGATCGAAAACCAATGAAAGCCGATCTTTCACCTCCGGGCTTGAGATAGTGTATTGGTATTACCCCGACCTCATCCACCGTCTGTTCCCCACAAATCACCGAGCACCCTTGAAGCGGAGAAGGGGAATATTGTATATATGAATGAATTTAAATGAGACGAAAAGCGAAAGTAACCTTCAAAGAATGACATGTAGACTGCGCAGAGTTCACATCCACTCAAAAGAAAATGACATTCGTAGCTGTCTCTAGTGGCAGTATCCAATGTTCCTTCCATGGTTATACCAAAGTACTTGACGCAAAGCCCGATATATGCCTCATATAGCTCCTGTAGGAGTAAGATGATTATCCTAGAGTTGTAGCAGGCTGGATAGGGATTCAGGCGTTGAGATTAAAGGACTATCTGTCTACTTGCGAGATGAGACCATTGGACACGGGTCCGGACTGATATCATATGTCCAAGGGTATACATCAAGTGCTATACATAACACAGTCCATTTCACAAACTAAGCCTTTTCTCTGCCATTTTCTGCCGTCTAGCTATGAAACTGAGAGGGAGGGGGGGG